TTCTTTGGTTATGTGTCGCATAGATACATGTAACAGCTTACTGTATGGGCTGCTTGATACTCAAATTAGTAAATTGCAAGGTATGCAAAACTCTGCAGCTAGACTTGCCACCAGGACTCGCACATGTGAATCCATCACACCTATTCTCCATGATTTGCACTGGTTGCCGACACGGGCAAGAATAGATTTTAAAGTTTTGGTTCTCACATATCAATGTATCCATGGTATAGCCCCTGTTTATCTTCAAAGTTTGGTTCAGGAGTACCAACCAGCTAGAAATCTGCGTTCTTCCCAGAAATCTCTGTTGTCACCCCCAGTCATTAAAACTAAGTCATATGGTTCCCGCTCCTTCCAATCAGCTGCAGTTCAGCTATGGAACAACTTACCAGATATTGTCAAACAGGCCGAAACATCAGAACAATTCAAAACCCGGGTCAAAACATATCTGTTCAATATGTATAATTGTTGATTTCATGAGAGCGCATAGGGACCTCACGGTGATATGCGCTACATAAAAATGGTTTTTCTTATTATTATTATTTAGCAAAATGAAATGACAGCCACAAGTTCAGCCCTTTCCCCCGCATTCACGCACAAGCGTCATGTAGGCCTACACCGTTATTGAACTAAAATCAGCTCCAGTCTAACAAAATGAGCATTTGGAATTGTTTGATAACTGGCAAAGTCAAACATGCAGTTGGCACGGTATACCCATAATTAGGGCCCAGGTACTACACACTGCCTCTGGGCAATTCGTTTCGTTACATTCTAAGCAATGTAGCACAACTCTCTGGGCTCCTGTGCATAATCAACATGTGTGGCTGCCAAATCTACAGCATGGCACCATCAATATTGTTGATGTACCCCTAACGTGGCGCGGCCCCCAACGTGGCGCACTTTGATTTTTCGCCTGTAGCGCCTACCTAGAGCAAAAGTTTTAACTGAAATTTCACAGAAAGTGAAATTTCATCAAGTTCTAAACACTCCTGTTTATAAATCGCGAGTTTATTTACCCGTAACAAAGTTAGAAGAAAAATGTATTTTGGCGTGATTTTCCGATTTTATTTTCAAGTGCAAAGTGAACCCTTTGAAAATGCCCCGAAAAATAAGAAAATAATTTTCTGACAAACATCTGGTTGGGTAGGTAAGTAGAGATAATAACGAATTATTAGAATTTATCAAGTTTACAGAAATTCTTAAATGTTAATTTGGAATTTCCCGAGATTTATTCAAGTGCGCCACGCTAGGGAACACTCCGCCAATTTGTGCCCAATTTCCGGACGCCACCGTTTCTGAATTTCGGATTAAATTTTATGAAACCGAAATTGTTCACAGAGGTTAAATAGCAAGCATTATTAAGGTAAAAGTACTAGTATTTTACTACATGCATTTGAGGTTTGTCAACAAAGAGGTTTGGCATCACTACACGAGGAAAGTTGGGTAAGCTTCGAAGTGCGCCGGGGAACACGACTATACATCAGCATGATGATACCATCAATACATCTTACCAGGACTTAAAACACATCCATAAGTAACGTTATAAAAAAAATGACATGGATAAATAAAACAACGCATGTCTTTCCATAAAATGTTTCTTCAAATGGGATGTATAGCTGTATTGACATACATGTATAACATTTCTCAATTTATCTCATCAGTTTCAAACATTGCCAAAAAAAATCTTGTTTCATAACGGTTAGTTACGTTACAGGTTGTCCGCCCATCTTTGGTAATGGTACAAGTCAAAACATAATAGTAGGTCTATAATCGAACCAAAAAAAATGTTCTTGCTCTCTGCCTTAAAAAAAACAACCTCAAAATAACACTTGTATTTTGCATGTGAAAACAAGATGCCAAAATGACTACCTAAAAATAATGACCAGCTAAAAAAACTCCTTTTTGAAAAAAAAGAAGACATTTGACCTTATTCCATCTCACTTGTGCACCACTTAAATTGAAAGGTCTTCTTGTGTCATCGCCTTGTATTTGATACCACATTTGAGATTGTGATGCTTACAGATTTGATTTTTCTATTTTTTTCCCCACTTTTCTGCCCTGTTCACTTCCTCGTGGAGGTATCCTAGTTCCCATTCCCAGAGCCATCTATTAAAAAAATGCCTGAACATTTGCTTTAACTATAGTTACGAAATATCTGTTAAAGGGAATATACATCATTTGCTTATGCTGTAATTTTCAGAAATGGATGGATTTGGGCCGGGGGGTTGGTAATAGGATATAGCAAATATTGTTACACTGACTTTTTTTACGTTTTGGGATTGTAAATGCTGGAAAAACCTAGAAAACCATTCATCTTCTTGAGGTCTGGTTCCCTGACCCCACTTAAGATGAAACGGAGCAATTTATAGATTTTGAGGGAATTGTAAGGTCAGAGAATCAGTCTAGTAGGCTTGTACCATTTCACAGGTGTGTAATCAATCGCTAAGAAAATGCAAAATAACTACATAATGACAAATTAGGAGCAGTTTCTGAAAAAAAGTCAGTTTTCTCCAACGCTGGTCGGCCGACCAGTGTTGGAAAATTTTATTTTTTTTTGAAATGTCAGCACACCGGGAACCACGATTTTACAGGATGGTTTAGACTGCATTCCCTAACAATCCAGTAAGGTATTTCGTGATAATTTGATCATTTCATTTTTTTATGTTTGCAAATGTTGTATCTTCCCTTTAACTATAGTTACAAAATATCTGTTAACTTTGCTTCCTGTTTGGATGCATCATGTATCTACTTACATAGGGGAAATCTGGGCATGGTAGACATCTGCGGGAATATCCCTTATGTAAGTTTAAACCAGGCAAGACTATGCATCCAAACCAGAAGTACGCGTACGGCTCACAATATGTCACTACAAGAGAAGGCAAAGTTGCAGGCCTTTTTTTTCCACAGGCATTTTTTTTTCATCAACACGAAAATGATTTTTCTTTTGAAATTACACTGAAACTAGGCCAGGCCTACATTAGTCAGGTACGGTCCTGAGTGTAGGTCTAGGCTATTCTCCAAACATTTGGGACTCTCAATACAGTATTAATTTTATGCTGCACACATTTTTACTGTCTAAAGTTTTGGGACTGGACATGTACCAGTCTAGTCTTAAATAAGGCTGCAAATTGAAATCATTTGCTTCGACTCACGGCGGGGCAAAATGTTGAAGAAAAGTATCCTTTTAATTTAAAAACTTCAAGTTAGACCTCAAATTAGCTGGAGAATTTTGTATGTCAATCTCGGAGTGATTAAAGTTGGCCTGATTTTGTTTTGCCTGTTTTTCTGGCACTCGAGTCTCCCGGTGTAGCATGATTTTAGGTTTTATGAAATACGGACTCATTGGTGGTATTGCGCATGCTCATGCATAGATAATTAGGAGAGGGACCGTTCACGTGAGAGGGTTTAACCAATAAAAGGGGAAAAGAGTCCCGCGAGTCCGATTTTCATATGACACTGGCCTACCCAGTCTGGGTCTACGCCTATGATGTCCACATGTTATTCAATAGGTGGCAGAATAGCTCAGTATACATAGACACTCTATATAATTATCTGCCCCCCCCCCCCCCCCCATTGAAGGGGTTAAATTCAATTGTAACCATCAATAAAATTGTTGGCGTCACCTCATTTCACATTGGCCAAGTTTGCTGGTACTTGCCTGGGCTTTTGACTGTCACATTTTGCTACAAAGCTTTTGCAAGATAGACATCCTTAAAGCCTACACCATAGAGCTGTATAATAATACAGCTCTATGGCCTACACAGAAAACACAAAGTGAGTAATTTGACTCATCCGTGTATTGTTGATGTACCCTAACGTGGCGCGGCCCCCAACGTGGCGCACTTTGATTATTTTCGCCTGCAGCGCCTACCTATAAGCAAACGTTTTAACTGAAATTTCACAGAAAGTGCAATTTCATCAAGTTCTAAACACTCCTGTTCATAAATCGCGAGTTTATTTACCCGTAACAAAGTTAGAAGAAAAAATATTTTGGCGTGATTTTCCGATTTTAGTGAACCCTTTGAAAATGCCCCGAAAATTTTGGCTGGGTATGTGAGTAGAGATAATAATTATTAATCAGAATTTATCAAGTTTACGGAAATTCTTAAATGTTAATTTGGAATTTTCCGAGATTTATTCAAGTGCGCCACGTTAGGGAACACTTCGCCAATTTGTGCCCAATTTCCGGACGCCACCGTTTTTGAATTTCGGATTATGATTTTCAAACCGAAATGGTTTACAGAGGTTAAATAGCAAGCATTAATAAGGTAAAAGTATTTTACTGCATGAATTTGAGGTCTGTCACTAAAGAGGAGTTGGCAACACTACACGAGGAAAGTCGGCCAAGCTTCGCCAAGTGCGCCACGTTAGGGAACACGACTGAAGTGAGACACTTTGAGCCAAAGTGTGTCACTATATCATATGGACAAAATGACTCATTTCTTACGATAATGAGTCTAATTACTCATCTTTGTGTGTTTTGTGTATACGAACCTCGTGCGGTTATATCCTGGGTGAGCGATATACGAACCTCGTGTGGTTCTATGTCCTGGGCTGAAACCAAAATGACAGGAGTAATTGTGTCGTCTGGAATCCCAATATTTCCGAACGTTCTTGCATTCGCGCCAAAACACGTGTTCCTCTTATTTTGTCAAATTGTCAGATAAAAAGTCAGACCATACGTCTCTATCCCCTACTTCCATAAGCGTTTAAAGAATGTACAACGTAACAGGCACCTGACTATTTCCCCGCGGGAAAATATTTTCAAACCATGGCTTCGTCTGCAGTTCAGGCTTAATTTCTGTCTCCCGAATCAAATTATGAGAAACGTTTCATTTTTCAAACTAAACGAAAACAAATCTCAACTGTAGCGTGATTTCAATGATCTTATTATATAGCATGAATTTATATACAGCGGAAACAAAATCAACGCATAAAATAATCTTATGAAGCCGGCAAAACTGAAGCCGGTAATCGTGAATTTTGTGCAAAGGTGACAATTGAGGGCGCGCTTGCTTGTTTAACAAACTAAACGTGCACGTCGTGCGGTGTGCATGCGTTTAATCACGACAGTTTTTGTCATTAATTTTCTCATTTTGAGGAACTCTGAAGACACATCATGTCATCTTTTAGAAAAGCTGCAAAGTCTGCCCAGAAAACGCACAGGGAGAGATCACAGGTAATTTAAAGTTGTATTATTTTCCGTGTAATAATGACGGCATGTGTGTGTCGTCCGGTGCCCCAAATTCGCGCTGCTCAATATTCGCGCAACCAACTTTCTCGGCTCGTATCTTTTTTTCACACAACACGGACCGACGTCAAATCACCGTCGTTGATCCATTGTCACATCACCTTTCTTCTCGATGCAGTTATGCGAAAATCAAAAGCTTTTCCGATTTTCACTCAACACACAGCCAACAGAGGGTGTAATCAGACATGTCAGAATTACAGAGCACGAAATACGACGTGCGCCTTATATCGAGTTTTTATTTTAGGATCTGTTTCGCCGAGATGCAGATTTCGGTACCGAGTTGTTTGTTGGAATGAATATGCCTTAAAATATATTTCAGTCGGAATAAGACCTAATCGTAATGTTTAAAGGTCCCAAAAAGTAGGCCAATATCTATTTTTTGTTTTTATTGAAATGATGTGTATCATGCAACCATGTGTCGAGGCGGCGCTATCGGCCATGGTATGGTCGACTGCGTGCAGGCGCGCACCTGTATAATTGATTGATTGATTGATCGCAGGTGTAAATTAGAATAAGCAATAAATGCCAGAGAACATTGCTACAGAAGGGTGGTTTTGTTAAGTTTTTGATTGAGGGGTCATTTCAAATATATTTGTCCATGTACTTAAAAATATAGCCACGGCATACTAAAGTTATAGGCCTATTGCAAATGTTTCTATTTTGGGAGAATACATTTGTAAAATGTTATGTAATTGGCACATGGTTGATTTTCAGCAAAACAAAAATTCTCGGAACTCTTTCCATGCATAGGATTTAACTAAGCTTCTTAGACTTTCGACAAAAGTATGTTATAATATTTGTGGATTTATTTTATTTACCTCCAATTTTCAATATGATATGATTTTAAATATTTTGCATACAGTTGTTTTTACCAAAATCGAAAGAAATTCATTTATTTCATATTTAAACAAACGTGTATTTAGTAACAATGTCAGATGGCAAATAAAAGTTAGTTTATCAAACTAGAAACCAAAGTTGGGCACATAAACTTATCCTTTATTCAACAAACATCTATCTACATTGTTTTAAGAAGTAGGACACAATGGAGACTCCGTAGAATGACGTTTTCCGTTCGTGCGCGAATTATGGGCACGAAACTTTTGTGGCAGCCAATTTGACTCATCTGTAGACGAGGACGTTCTTGACGTGTCGTGTAGTCAGTGACATGTACATGTAGTACATTTTGTGTAGTCAAAATGGACTACACAAACATAACAAAAATGGTTCTTTTCCCCTCTGTTAATTATCCCAACCCAGATTCCATTAAACATACCTCATACCATGCAGCAGTCATTCATGAAGCTAATAATAATCGACTTGAAACAACAGCAGTTTACTAAAATTTAAAAAATAATTGATGGCTTCGGTGCCTTCTTCAGAAAAAAAAAGTCCAATGCCGCTGTACTGTTGTGACTGTGTTGTGGTTATTGTGTTCTTGTGCCGATCAGGCAATAAAAAAACCCGCAATTTATGCTGAGTAGTGCTCTGAAACGTGCAAAACTAAATCAGGCCGACTTTACTCACAGTTTAGCCAGCAAATTTCTCCAAAAATTCCACTGGGGCAAAGAAAATGTCCTCAGTATTTCACCAACCAAGTTTGCAGACTCAATTCAGTTTTTAAAAGGAGACTTTTCTTCAATATTTTGCACATGAGAGAGAAGTCAAGTGATTTCAAAATGGGGCTAAATACTAGACTGGTACATGTCCAACCATGGTCCAACTATTTGAAAAGACTGACCTCTTCATTCAGTGTCAATAGTCTGGTGGCTTGACTATGGAGAAATGTGTAGTAAATTGAGACTAGTTCCCACTTCATGCCACATGTTTCTTAAATTCTATTGGCACGGTTGATTGATGCAGTACTGAAGCTGTGTTGGACTGGTTGTTTTAGTTGCCAGTCTATTTTCTTGTATTGCATGTTTTCAATACCTTACGTTTTGGGACTCTCATACACAGTATTGAGAGTCCCAAATTTTCGGACTAAGTAGGACATACACGTAGAACAGCCATTGGGTCAGTAGTACATTCTGTATACACAGTACCATGAGTACAGTCCATTGACCTGAAACACTTTTAGGCCTTTATGCAAAATCACCAAGATATTTCTGTACCTAATTTCTGGGGGTTTTAAAAATGTTTTTCACTTGTATTTTGATTTTTTATTGCAGCCTGCAAGCAGAAACAACCTGGGGTTGCTTGAGAAGAAGAAAGATTACAAACTACGAGCCAAGTATGTCGTCTGCACCTGACTCAGTGTTCTCCAACCTGTACAAATAACCTGGTTCCCCTCCAAGCTTTCTGAGGCACCCGCCAAGTTTCAAAAGCTGCCGCCAAGCTTAAAAAGTTGCCCGCCATGCTTAAAAAAAAGGGAAAAAATAATAAAAAAGACAAACAAGTGGGACTACCCTTACCCTCCAGGGTATATTTTGGCCAGAAACTCTGCCAAAAGCAGTAACATGGAACATTTGTCAAAGTGACAAGCCTGCCCATTGTAGCAATCAATCAGGTCAAAAGTCTCAAGGCCAAACTGCCTCAGAGTCCCTGGTCACTGATGCGCTAAAAAAGATGATGCTGAGCCAGTATTGTACTTAATTGTTAGTGTCACTGTGTTAGAAATGGCCTAAAAGCTGTTATCCGTACATAAATTGCATGTTCATCTGCAAATAGCGCCCCCTAGCATAAAGAAATGTATGACTGCAAATAGCGCCCCTAACATAATTATAGTGCCCCCTCCGCTTTTTGACAGCACACCGACCTTTAATTTTCGAAGTTGGAGAACACTGTGACTATTTAAATGAAATAACTCTTATTTCTTAACCCTTTGTAGAATGGTGAAGTAAAAAATGGGCCCTCGTAAAAGAAATGCAACCCCAAAATTCAAATCCTGAAAGTTGTCTGCTTTTTAGGTATATGGTGTAAACTGCTACTATCGCGAGCGTCATCCGTTTTTCGTTAAAATGCACATCAACGTGAAATCTGTTGTGATCTTCAATGTACATGTACATGTCGCCTGAATTTGATTTTGGAAATCCCCACAAGTAGCATTCAAAACCTTTCTCATGACTGTACGTCATTTGTAAAGTTGGTTAGGGGTACCCGATCCCATAATCTGGAACCAGTTAACTTACACCCACGGTCGGGTACCTGGGTACCTGGTTCTGATGAACGCCCCTAGATGGCTTGCATAATCAGGCCCCTACTTTTTAAAGCCAGAGTCCATCATTTGCAGCTATCCAAAAAGTAACTGGCGTAATTATTGTTGAAAAACATACTTGGTTGAAAGATGGTAAGGGAACTAAACTCCCTGTAAAATTATTCTTTCTGGCAAGCTGTCATTTTGAAGAAATCAACAAAAGAAGGCCTTTCCAACGGTGCTTCTTAAGAAGCACCGTAGGAAATTCAAATTAGTAGTTCGTTTTGTAATTCAGCAAAGCACGCGCAAGCATTGGCACGACGCACACGCGCGCGCGGTTGCTATAATTCGTCGGATCAGTGCGCGACATCGCGTAGCTGCAATCGGCTCAGTGAGAACGTGTCTCGGACGCTGAATTCAGGCCCAATTCAAAACATGATTCAGCAACATTTGATTTGAAATCGAGATCCTAGAATGTTGTTTTCTCGAAATATACAGCTAAAGCTGAGCTGAAACTTCATCAGTTTAGTTGTTCAGCACCCTTCTTTAGATCTTAAGCACAAATGATGGACTATACCTTTAACATGATGCGTTTGATTTTTAAAATCCAGTTGCACAAACCAGTCAATGCATATTGTTCTCTCTGGTTTTTTTTTCAAAATCACAGAATCAAATTTAACTCTATTGGACAATGCTATATTCATCAGGATCAGAATTAACCATTACCATTGCTGTTCAGTTCCAATCCTTTCTTCAAAGACTTACCAATGCTTGTTTGTACCTTTTCCTCGACGATCATTTTAGGGACTACCATGCCAAAGAGGACAAGTTGCGCAAGTTGCGCAGGAAAGCCCTGAACCGAAATCCGGACGAGTTCTATTTCAAAATGGTCAGCTCTCGACTTGAGGTAGGTTTTGAGCATAATCTCATTTAAAGCAAACCTCAGTTTTCTTTATTGTGGTGTTTAACATAACTAAAGCTAATATAGTTTAACCCTCCTAGTCTTCTGCACTTCAAAATCTTTCCAAGTTTGCAAAACCACTTTTGCCCATAGAGGTAGTATATCCACCCTTCAACCCTTTTCTGAGAATTATGGATGTAAGGCGCAATTAGCGGATCTGCGCTATCGGTCGATCCTGTAAGAAATCTCAGACTTGACTTTCCTTTTTCAAAACAATCCTCCAGGAGCATTGAATTTAAAAGAAATTATGATCGACTGATGGCGGCGTGATCGAACGATGATGGCACGATTAAAGGGAATATACAACAACAGCAAACATCGGAAAACAAAACTACCAAATTTTTACGAAATACCTTACTAGGATGTTGGTAAATGAAAGTCTAAAGCATCCTGTAAAATAATGGCACCTGGTGTGAAGTCATTTTTAAGAAAAGTGGTATTTTGTTTAAATTTCCAACCATGGTAGGCCGACCACCGTTGGAAAAACCTATATTTTTCAACTACTGCTCCAAATTTACCAATTTTTTTTTCAGTCCAAATTTTGTTTGTCATTGGTTACATGTTCATGAACGGGTGCAGGCTAGCTAGACTGGTTCCCTTACCTTACAATTTTCCGGCATCTATAAATTGATTCATTTCATTTTAGTGGAGTCAGGGAACCAGACTACTTGAACATTTTTTGCTTTTCTTGGTTTTTCCAGCATTTTCGAACACAAATCTTTAAATTTGTCAGTGTAACAATATGTGATCTATTATACTATTCCCTCAAACAGTTCATTTCTGAAATTTACAGCAAAAGTCAATGATGTACATTCCCTTTAACTTAAGCGACAGCGCAGCACGATCGTGTAGATCCAACGATCACATTGAACAGCGACCCTTGAAATCCCTGCATAGTTCTTCTGTGTGGTTAAGCTCAGGGCAAGCAGGCAGATTCAGTCACGCTTCACTGCTCTCCACAGCGCTTTGGGGATTTTTATGCCCCGCGGCAAAGCCGAAGGGGCATACTGTTTCCGCCTTGTCCTTCCGTGGGTGGGTGGGTGGGTGGGTGGGTGGGTGGGTGTGTGGGTGTGCTGGAATTTACTACCTTAAGGAGACATGCACACAATAGGAAACAAAAGATTGTATACGTCTCCGCAAGAACATTTCTATAGATGAATACGTCTCCACAAGAATTTCACGAAATAGATATATGGATTTTACTCAAAAACTAGGAATTTCCAAGGTAGGTTGATGTGTCGAAAATGGAAGAGTTTTAGAAAAGGGATATTTAGTCCAAATTTCAGCCCAGGAAATTAATTCTGGTTAAAATAAGAGCATTTTGAAACTTTAATTTCAAACACGAAAACTTTACTACACGAGAACAAAGAAATGTCTCCACAGGAATACAAATTCCAGTATGCGTGGGTGTGTGGGTGTGTGGGTGTGTGTGTCCGAACAAATCTTGTCAGCGCGATAACTTGAGAAATACTTAACATATGAACTTCAAATTTGGTTTGTGGATTGTCCTTGGTAATCCTAAGAAGCCTTTTGCATTTGGGGCCGAAAGGTCAAGGGTCAAGGTCACAGTGGCTGAAACAATAGAAATTTTGTCAGCGCGATAACTTGAGAAATACTTTACATATGAACTTCAAATTTGGTTTGTGGATTGTCCTTGGCAATTCTAAGAAGCCTTTTGCATTTGGGGTCAAGGGTCAAGGTCACAGTGACTAAAACAAAAGAAATTTTGTCAGCGCGATAACTTGAGAAATACTTTACATATGAATTTCAAATTTGGTTTGTATATTGTTCTTGGTAATCCTAAGAAGCCTATTGCATTTGGGGCCGAAAGGTCAAGGGTCAAGGTCACAGTGGCTGAAACAATAGAAATTTTGTCAGCGCGATAACTTGAGATATACTTTACATATGAACTTCAAATTTGGTTTGTGGATTGTCCTTGGCAATCCTAAGAAGCCTTTTGCATTTGGGGCCAAAAGGTCAAGGGTCAAGGTCACAGTGGCAAAAACAAAAGAAATTTTGTCAGCGCGATAACTTGAGATATACTTTACATATGAACTTCAAATTTGGTTTGTGGATTGTCCTTGGCAATCCTAAGGAGCCTATCGCATTGGGGGTCGAAAGGTCAAGGGTCAAGGTCACAGTGGCTAAAACAATAGAAATCTTGTATTTATTCTGAGATCATAGGGATTAGGGATTAATTCATATAAAACCTACAGAAGACACTAATGCTGTCAATGAACGTTCCATTTGACCAAGGTACATGTAAGTTGATGTTAGAGTGGTGTTATGTCATGGAAACAGTCACGGTTGCGGGGCATTTGTGTTTGTAACTACACCTGACTTGTTTTTTGCTGCTTTTCTCAGTGATTGTGCAGTGACTCTCTGTGTGACACAGTTACTTTAACACTTCGTATCTTTTCACCTGAAACTGGCCTGCTGGGTTAAAAGGGTTTACATATCGCTGTAGCCCTTTTCACACTAGACAAATCGCGGGGTTGACGCAGGGTTGAAAACATGCATTGTATCACACTTGAAGAATTTCAACCCTGCGTCAACCCCGAGATTGATTTCGCCGCGGGTTGAACTCAGCACTGCTCCAGACCAGGGTTGAGATGTTCAACCTGGGTTGAAATTCTTGCCAGGGTCCAAAACAGTAGTAACTGAGTATGTGATAAGCTTGATTTGCATGAAACAAGTGTGAAACAATGCAAGGTTGAACGCAGTGTTGAAAATCAAAAACTCAACCCGGGGTGGCACTGGGTTTGCCCAGGGTTGAGTTCAACCCGGGTTGAGAAGCTCTAGTGTGAAAAGGGCTTCTGAATGTTCGCTTGCCATCGGGAGGGTTAAACAAGAACATTGTCTAATGAAATAATTTTTCCAGTAAAACAAATTAGATTTACATAACCAATGATTGGTTGGTTTTAGTTTGTGATCATGGTGGACTGTCCGTCAGAAATGGCCGTGTGTATTGTCTTTGTTTATGTCATTGTTCATTCATATTTCAAAGCTGTCTTTGGTGAAATTCATTTACCCAATTTTCTGAATCACATTAATGATATGTTTGGCGTATCCTCAGGATGGCGTCCATAAACGTCTCAAGAAAGAAGACCCTGTGACTGAAGAGCAGCAGAAAATGATGGACACTCAAGATAAACGATACGTCAACTACAAACTGGCAGTGGAAACCAAGGTAGAGTTTACCATTTGAATAGGTGGCATAGCACTCCATTCCTGGCTTGGGTCATGGAAATTGAAAACCATGGCCAGGCTATGGCCGCTACCTGGCTTGATTTGCATCAACGTTTTATCGACGTGCACAGTTGTTAGTTGTTAACAAAATTATCAGGCCCAGGTTATATCTGCATCCTGTTGTCAGATCTTTCAGACTGCTGCAACTGGCCCCAACTTGGGAAGGGCGGTGGTGGGTTGAGCGCTTTGGTCCCGGGAACCCTCCCTCTCCAGATGCAGCGACTGTCATGATATAGGAGTCATTGTCATTGTCAGTAGAGAGTACTCCCTTTTTTATAATTCAGACTGGGAACTGTTGGTATGAGTGACGTACACCAACGTGCCAAGCCATTACCCCTAAAGGGCCTGTCACATTATATGCGCTCTCATAGGAGACCTTACGGCGACCAATTTTTTTCTCATAAATTTAACAATCGCAGCGAGGACGCAATAAAATGACAACTTTCTGTCTCAAAGAAGCTCAAGCTACGCTCATACTGTGCTCTTCCCGCGCTTACGATGCGTTCAACTCGCTCTCTATGCGCCCCTGTTAAGCCCAATTACTCGATCTAGTCGCTGCCGCTGCGCTGTCACTGCGCCCACACTACGCTCTGCTCGCTGTTGATACGTCCTAGTAGCATGCGTCGCGCTCTCTATTCGACCAAAATACGCTCATGTGACGTCACTTGCACTGTATAAATACCACGACAAAACGGTCAATACAAAGTCCAGTTTAAAAAAAATTCTTCTACAAGTTCATCGCAGTCGAGTTACTTTCTCATGAAGACTACGTCGACTGCCTCAATGCCATTTCAATGTCGCACGATTCACGCTCGCACAGCGCCCGAGTTGCGTCATTACGGTGCCCTGGCCAGAGCGCAGAGGTGTTGCGATTGTTTTGAGCATGTTCAAAGACCTTTGCGCTCATCGAAGATCATTAAGACCCTCTGGCGCCCATCTGGCGACCTATGTAGTTGTCGCTGCGATCTAGTAGTTGTTGCGCCCCAGCTATTTTTCAAGGACGCAGTGAGAGCGCATATAAGATCGCAGACAGTGTGACAGGACCTTTATGTTACCAAATAGGCCCTTCATCTAGGCCCTACTAGGCAGAGCTTGCACTGCTGGAACCAGTTGTAGTTGTGCAAGATTCATTCGTGGCATGGCTGGTCACAGGAACCCAGTCCTACTATCAGTTGGAGTGCTATACCTTCATTTATGTCTGAATGTGTGTTGCTGGCGTTTCTTCCTGGTCTACATCCACTGGGGGAACATATGGTCTTGGAACTAGTTTCCAACTTCCAAATGTTTTGTTGTTTCTTGCCAACCACAGTGTGTGTCGACCTCTTAGAGCTGCTCTTGATACAGAATCTAGTGCCTTCTTCATTTCCTTATTTGTCAGGCCAAGGAATTGGAAGCAGTTTCTCAGTGTCTTGTTGGTGAAGCCTCTGGATCCAACTTCCACCGGGAAGTATTTTAGCTCCCATCCTGCCTCTTGACCATCGCTGATTAGGTCTTCCTATTTGCACTTCTTTCTGAGGTTAGCTTGTGCGATATTCTCTTCGGCTGGTACCGTCAGTTCAATGACTACTCCTACCTTCTCAGAGGGTGAGTAGATGGTGATGTCTGGTCTTTTTGACGTAGTCACTATCTCTGGCGGGAATATGACGGGGTGTTTGTCTTCATCCCACACCACTTTCCAATCCTCACAGCCCTCCTTCAATCTCTGGCAGTACTCCGTGGTAAGACATGGGTCGAATGGCGGCTGCCTAAGGTACCTTTACATGCCTTCGGCTCGACTTCGTTGAAGTTGCGTCCTTCACAATGCAGCTTCTGCTGCAAGTAAGGACAATTAGCCCCCTTTTTTTGAGACACAGTCATTTCGCTGACTTGGTGTCGTGACTGATCATTAAAGAGAGGACTGTAAAAAGTGGGGTCCCCTAGCTTGGGGGAAAAAGTATCGTGGCAGTTAAGCTTTTGAGGTGAAGTGCAGTGTTGTAGTACTCGCACTCGGTACTCGTACTCGAGTACTACTCAAGTACTTTTTTTTGGAGTACTCGTACTTGTACTCGCACTCGAATGTCAAAGTACTCATACTCAAAATGACGGTACTCGTACTCGGACAGCAAAGTACTCATACTCGACATGTCAAAATTGTACTCGATCATCAAGGTACTCGTACTTGAATATCAGTACTCAGGGAAAATGGTATAGCTTGACTTTATACACCATGGCCTTATTTTATCAATACTTTCAGTTTTAAATGGTTGATTGACTTGTGGAGAAATCAAAGTTTCCTGATTTTCCTCTGTGCACATCCGGACAAACACATTTAACAGCTAGCCGTGAGTGGGTCTGTATATCGGTCTGACTGGGCCTGGGCCAATTACACACAATGAACCATTTGCCGTATGGTCGTATTCGGAAATACAAGTACTTGTACTCGTACTCGGAAGTACAGTACTCGTACTCGGAGATCTGTTCTTGTACTCTGAGGTACAAATACTCATACTCGTACTCGTACTTGGCAACCTAAGTACTCGGCAGTACTCGGTACTCGGAAAAAAGTACTCGACGACAACACTGGTGAAGTAAACTTCACTAGTCAGCTAACTCAGTTTTCTTTTAAATTTCACCAATTTCAGAAAATTGAGAAGTTACGTTCTACCCTGCACTTAGTGGACGAGGTTCAAGAGAAGCCAAAGAATAAACACACGTTTTTTGTCAACACAAAAGAAGAAGGTGAGTCCCACCCCGATGACTACGATAGGGAGACCCTTCTTTCCAAAATAAAATTTATTCACTTAAAGATATAGTCCATCATTTGTAATTTGTGCAGTTTGTTTGTTTGAAGCAACAAAAGTGCTCAAAATCTAAAGAAGGGTACTGAACAACTAACCTGATGAAGTTTCAGCTCAGCTTCAGCTGTATATTCCAAGAAAAACAGCATTCTAGGAACTCAATTTCAAATCAAAAGTTGCTTAATCATGTTTTGAATTGGCCTGAATTCAGCGTCCGAGACACGTTCTCACTGAGCGGATTGCAGCTACGTGATGTCGCGCACTGATCCGACGAATTATAGCAACCGCGCGTGCGTGTTCGTCGTGCCAATGCTTGCGCGCGCTTCCCCCAATAACAAAACGAACTACTAATTTTAATTACCTACAGTCTTAAGAAGCACCGTTGGAAAGGCCTTCTTTGTTGATTTCGTCAAAATGACAGCTTGCAAGAAAGAATAATTTCACAGGGAGTTTAGTCCCCTTACTATCTTTCAACCAAGTATGTTTTCAACAATAATTACGCCAGTTACTTTTTGGATAGCTGCAAATGATGGACTCCAGCTTTAACTGCTGTATCTACTTGTGATATGTTAATTTTGCAGTTTTCTTATTTTCTTTGCATTACCACAGTTTTTGTAATCACTGGGAATGAGTTTTACTCTTTAGAGCATATATGTAAATATGTAAATTATAGAGAGTTGTAGTTAAGTTCTGTATACAAGTATTCACAAGTCAATTAGACTAAGCGATATTTAAAAAATTGTTACATGAAGAGGCATTTTCGAGTAGAAGTTGGTAACATAGTTATTTTACCTAATTTCGGGGTGCTGAATCCGAAAATGATGGTTACCAAGCTGGATTTTTAGTGGAAATATGCCTAATTTGCATAAATCTTTAATACCCGTCGTGTAATATATTTGTTCCCATATTTCGCTATATTTTTTATTATTTGAAAAGTTTATTTTCGTGATTGTACTTACACTTCCTGACTTCAATAACATTTTTTAAAGCAAATAAGTGACTGAATGATTATGAGGATATAGTAACAATCCAAAATGGATACTATTTCACCCTAAAGTTGCTCGCATTTACCTCACGAGTCTCCAGATATCATCAAGTAGTCTTGCCAAACCTTAGTATCAATGAACTTCAAATTCACCATGTTGCTTACTGTACTGGTACAATTACCCTATTAAAAACCTTATGGGAAAGTCATGTGAACAAAGATAACATTGTGATTTATAAAACGGGGGAAAAACAGGGTGGCCGTAAATTGGGCTAAAAAGTAGTTGAAGGGTTGCCTAACATGCCTAGCTTGGGAGACTTGAACAAGTTCCAGGAAATTCCCAAAAGTTTGTGACTTTGTGGTAAGAAAACGTTTTGACGTTGATATAATTATTGTAAGCAACAATAGTCTTTTATTTTGGGGGATTTCCTTGAAGTTGTTTAAGTCCCCACGTTAGGCAACCCTTCGCCTTATTTTTAGCCCAATTTACGGACACCTCATTTTTCCCCCTGTTTTCCTTTTTGGCCTAAAATATCAAGATGTTATCATTTTTCACATAATGTCCCATTTATTTTTGTTAGGGTAACTTTGCTAGTAAGTAACTTTGTGAATTTAAAGCTGATAAATACTGACGTTTGTCGAAACTACTTGATGATATCTGAGGAAAAGTAATTGTGCGCAACCTTAGGGTATAATAGTAGCCATTTTGGATTGTTTCTATGTCCTCATAATTATTCAGTCACTTATATACTTTAGAAAATGTTATTGAAGTAAGGAAGTGTAAGTATAATCACCAAAATAAACTTTTCAAAAAATAAAATCACAAAAAATATACCCAAATATGGGAAAAAATATATTACACGACAGGTATTAAAGAATTATGCAAATTAGGCATATTTCCACTAAAAATCCAGCTTAGTAACCATCATTTTCGGATTCAGCACCCCGAATTTGGTAAAAAAAACTATTTTACCAACTTCTACTAAGAAATGCCTCTTCTTGCCCTAAATGAGCCCTTTTTTGAAATATTCTTAGACTAAATCACAATTCACGCAGTGTTCAGAAAGATTGAATTGGGCAAAGAGGGCAGTATTTAAAACCAATTCCTTATCATGAGTATCACCAGTGAGGGCGCTCTTTCACTTTAGCAGACACTTTTGTTGGATGATTTGTTTGGACTTGAAAAGTGATTTGGTTGTCTGTTCAATAATCATGAACTCAATTTTTTTTCAGTTGAAAGTTTTGATGTTGCAGCTCACCTTAGGACATTGCAGTCAGACACCTCAACCCCTCTGGATGAAAACAGTGAACTTGTAAGTTTAATTTATAAAAAAAAAAGTGGTTGAACCACGTTCGCGTGCATGTTGCACGTGTTCTGAAAAACAGAGACTCGGGCAAACTAGTTTTTGACCCCTTCTCTGTAAATGGACGCTATTTCTTAACTTGAGCTTTATTTTCAACACTATTTTCACCATATACCAGTGTTGTAGGTCTCGGTCTCGAGACCACTTTTTGCTGGTCTCGGTCTCGGGAGCTGTGCTTTCGGTCTTGGTGTCGGTCCCCTTTGGTCTCGATATTTTGGCTGGTCTCGGGTCGAGACCGGCAATATAATCCCGGGACATACCGTTATTTCGTTTTACCGTTTTGGATTTCCTCAAAAACAAAAACGGTAAACGAACCATTGACCGTTTTGTCGTTTTACAGTTTTGTAAAACGGTCAAACGGTTTTAAGTCACAAAAAAAATTTATCTTTTTATTATTTTTGTAAATTGTAAAAAGCGATAAACGGTTAGTTGCTTTATTTTTAGAGTGTTGCTTTACAAAAACATGACAATGTCAAAACGGTCAATAGTCTTATCGACCATTTTTTTAAATTCAGGTTTAAGTTGGCAATTATAGCAATGCACCTTGGAATGTTAATGTGACCGTGTCCTTGGGACGGTCACTGCCTGTGCCCTCCTTACATTTATGTCGTTCTAGTTCTCGCAACAGAATTTGAGAATATTAGCTATTGAAGAGCCGCGCTGGACTTCAATTTCCTCCAACCATGGAGCAATAATTGCTCCATGCTCCAACACATCTGCAACTTCTTCATACATTACATCTTACCATGGACCATCCTGTATCCATTGTGAAATGCCCCCCCCCCCTTGACATTTTTTGCTTGCAACTCTTCAAGCCCCACCAACTGAATCGCAGTAGATGGGGGTCAGGGTCAAGCCAGGAATCACACACGCACGAATTATGCCGAGGTGACACTTCTTCGTGGCCGTCATGGTCCCCCTCCATCCCCTTGCCCACCATAAGAACCGCCACAAAATGCACAACGGACTGTTAACTAATACACTGAAGTAAAAGAAAAAACAGTCTGTATTGAATACTGACCGTTTTGCTGTTTTTCAAAGTTATTTGTGTAAAACTGTAAAACAAAAATCATTGATCGTTATGCTGTAATGAAATTTATGAAACTGATAAAACGGAATAACTGTATTTATCGTAATACCGTTTGCCGTTTTACAAAACTGTAAAACGACAAAACGGTCATTGGTTCGTTTACTGTTTTTGTTTTTGAGGAAATCCAAAACGGTAAAACAAAATAACGGTATGTCCCGGGATTCAATATGTAGCATTTACAGCTCGATCAATTACTTTGTGTTCACTTTGTTCAGTACCATTGATAGTTAAAACATTTGCTAGCCTGTAGTTCATGTTGTCCAGCTTGTTAACGTATTGTTATAGTTCGTGGTTGATTTGGACTGCATGTTGGAAAGTCCCCTAGTTGTGGGTCTACATGTACAAGTCCATATTCCATGATGGAAATTTAAAAAATAGTTCAACATTTTACCCCCGACGCATCAGAGAAGCCATCGAGATCATCAAGCATAACACTGTTCCCCAAGACATCGGTTTCTACATCAGCGACATCTGGCGCCCCATCCTGAAGTCCAAGTCCGATAGGTCTCCTATACCCTAGGACAACTTAGGTTCAGTTCTCGCCTATGGGTCACCTATACCCCTGAGCTCTTTCCCCTTTGCCCCCTCACTGTGTACTGACACGCTCCAGTGATCATCCAGCATCCCTCAGTCAACTTGCATCCTTCTCAGCTTCACCAATTTTGAGCTTCACCAGTTTGCATCCTTCTCACGCCTCACCGCACCCATCCTTATAACATCGCATCATTGTTGGAATCCCTCATTCTCCTGACGACGGGCAGAGCATACTGTTCGAAATGTTGAGTCCCTCCAGTTCTTTTCAGAACCACACATACTCACAATAGAGATTTATTCACATGGTGCTACCGCAAACTTATCTTGTCTAAGTTGAACATATGTCCCCAATCTTGAGAAATCGGCCTCTGAAAAAGTGTGAAGTTTTCGGACCACCCTGTAGATTGTTTATTGTTTCAAAAATCTATCAGTCAAAATCAGTCAACTTGGTAGCATGACTTTTCCACTCCTTTCCTTGAATCATGCTGTATTTATAGATGACACTGACATCCTTTTACTTTACAGTCGAAATAATACGCAGCTTATAGAGAAATATTTCCCTTCTATTCAGATCCTTGCCATGGAGAAAACCAAGAAGTACCGCGAGTTATCCCAACGAAAGGACCGACAGAAACAGCTGAAGATTATCGCAGACAAGATGGACTCCAGGAAAATCAAAAAGGTATTTCTGTCTTTTCATTGTCTAAATTCTTTGGGAGCTTTTCAAATTGTTCGCTAACCATCCCACATTTCAGTACATTATCTGAAAGTGTATTTTAAAATTATAGCAAAATGAGATGGAACTGGACACATGCAGTAGTGGAGAAATTGAAGAAAAAAAGGGGGGATGATTTTCTTTTCGATTTTCAGATTGTTATTTGTAATCATTAAATATGTCCACTACACATATTTAAAGGGACACTTGGTCCTGGAACAGCCCAATTGGGCTACAAAACGCACTTTGAACGAAATGATTTTAATCGGAAATAACATTTAAAAGTAGGATATAAACATCCACACAACTATCCTTTCAAAACTGGGCGTTTTTGTGTAATTCCTGTATTATGCCTGCGAGAACGAATTTCAGGGTCCACTTTTGCGACCCCATAAATTTGAGCAGTTTAGATGCTAGTTGTGACTTCATTTATGAAGTGTTCGTCTTTTGCGGTCGTTGAAGAAACCACTTTTTTTGCATTAGTGATTGGTCACCACTGTTCCCGAGACACACAACGTGTATATCGTACACTGAGAATGACACGAAAAATGTATTCGTGCTCCGTCGTGTCCGATGTAAACAAGCAGTTTTTTTTTTCTTTTCCCGGGAACGGTAAGACATTAGGTTGGTTTCCTTTCAACCAGATGTTTGAAATAGGCTGGTAAACAATCCAAAACATGAAATTTTCGAGGATTTCAGGACCTTGTTCCCCCTTTAAAGAAATAGTGAAAAAAAATTTGGAATAAAAGTGTTTTTAAGGAAAAACACTTAACATCTTTCATTTTCATGACTTCAAAACAGTGGACACTTTAAAGGTGTTTTTGTCAGTGTTTTACTTTTTTGATGTATCAATAAATGCGAACTTTAAACAGCCATAACTTGTCCACGGAACGTCCTAATGCGGGCAAACCCTCAGTTCGACCTCTGCTCAGTTCTGTCTCATTTTGCCACAATGCCCCACACATTTAGAAAGGAAAATAAAATCCATCTTATAATAGTTTATGCTGTACCCCGTGCTATGTACATCAGATTCGAACCGGCCAACAGATCCCGTTAGCTCGGTGGTCGAGTGGCAAGACGTCTGCACTAGAAAGCAGGAGGTCATGGGTTCGAGTCCCACCCGAGTGATTTTTTCCAACTTTCACTCGGGAGGTAACACACCGAGTAAACAGTGTTTAAACGTCGCGGCAAAACCCAATTTGACATTTAGAAAGGTATAATGTTAATAATTTGTGGATAGTTGCACTTTATAAGTTTTATCGTATTGTAAGGATTGTCATAATTTTAATTTTGTGGGTTTTTTTCTTCTGAAGGACAAGAGAAGAAAGGTCCTCATTCAACCAGAGACCAAGTCATCACCAGCAGTCTACAAATTCTACCCAGAGAGAAAAAGATGACATCAGTAACCATGTTTTAAGCCTTATTTATGTGCCAACTGAAAGAGGTTGTGGAATGCTCGAAGACATTCCCGTCATTTTTCGGGTATATGTAGCCTAAGGTGTGATGAAATAAAACGACTATTGTGTCTGTCATGAAATGAGTACAAAAGGTACTTTTGAGAGCTGTTTTTCAGGTCCTGTTTTGACCCGAACGTGCAATTTGTGTAAAAGTCGTCGTTGGGGGCAGCAAACAAAACAGTGTAAATCGTGACGTAATAACAGGGGTGTGAAATCTCAGCTTTAAAGCTGATTTCAGCTTTTTTTTGTTTTGGACTTCAGCTTGTTTTTCAGCTTTTTCCCTCTCTTGCTGTGTACAAAAGTATGGGAGATTTCCAAAATTCAGCTTTTTAACACCTTTTTCAGCTGTTTTTCAGCTATTTCTATCAGTGGTCACTCACACCCCTGGTAATAAACAGGACTCCCGATGCAGCGTAGTATAAACGAGTCCTGTTTATTACGTCACTATTTTTCTCATTTTACGAAGAACCCGACGACTGTTTGATTTCAATTATGCGCTCGCCGACCAACAAATTACTGGATGAATTTCAGTTTTATTAACATATAAACGCACATTACAAAAGAATGGGACTTTGTCATTATGATATATATGGGTCTACTCTACAATAAAATAATATAAAAAAAACAAAACTACTTTCAGCATTCCACAACCTCTTTAAAGGCATCTAGGATCATTTGCATTTATCCCAACGGTTATCTACCAAATTATTAATAAAAGCTGACTTGGATTGAAGGTCGTACTGATACCAAACAACCTTTGAAGTTATTCCGTCTGGCTTGCTGTCATTTAAAAGATATCAAGAAATGTAAGTGATTTCCAACAATCAGTCAAGTGACCTATTTTTTTTTTTGGGGGGGGGGAAATAAAGAGTACTACCTGTACAGATGAAATCATATTTCTCGATCAAAGCCTTTTGAATGTGTTTTTTTGGTACAGTTTTCTCGAAAAAGTGCTATATCCTCTGAGCTGAACGTCATCAGGTTAGGTTTTGAACATTCTTTTTTGGAAACGAACGAAATGCATGAAAAGCAAATGATCCTATAATGCTTTAAATGTGCATTTCATTTCCAGAAAATGTTTTAATTACCCTTTAAATGCAGCTTTCTTGTTTGGCAACCGATGACCCTTTGCATAGACGTGCGTGAGTTAGTTTCGCTAGGTTTCAAACGCCACAAAGTGAACATTGGAAAATGTTCTTCTGAAGACATCGTCTTGGAATATTAAAACCAAAAAGACTGGTTTATTCATAGGACAATCTTTCAATCCTTGTGGACAAATTTTCATTGAGTTTTCATGGTTTTTGGGAACCATGTGCACATGGGCGTCGCCAGGATTTTTTCTAGAGGGGGGCAAAAAATTTTTTTGCCAAAAAATGCTTGTATTTCTCAACACATTCTCGATTTATCAGTTTTAGAGGGGGGCAGGGACATTTTGCCCCCCCCCCCCCAACTCATTAAATTTACACCACTTTGTCTTCGCGCCTCTTTTTCTTTTCTTTTCTTTTCTTTTTTTTTCTTCCTTTTTTTTTTTTTGCTTTTCCGGGGGGGGGGGGGGGGCAAGTGCCCCCCTTGCCCCCCTCCTCGCGACGCCCATGCATGTGCACAAACAATCTTCACCGGAATCACTAGTTAGAAAGGATGGATAGATTCAGGATACATATGAAGAAAAGGGAACTGGAACATTATTCACCTGCCGATAGTAAAGTAATCAATTGAAACGATTGTGGTAGAAAGTAACATCCCCCAACCCGCCAAAGAAATAAGGAGAAAACTTAACCGTTGTCATGTCTCTTACAAGACAGGTTAGAGCAATGAAGCCCATCAAATGCATCCAGATCCTCACAATACATGTACCTAGTTTTAATTAGTTCAGTCTTCGACAATAAAAACCCCAATTATTACTTCTTTGCCCTAGTGACTTCTGTTGTGAAGCATTTATAGAATTTCCCAAACTCAGCCGATAGCTCTGTGAGCCTACCTAATCTTGTGGCGGATCAACCTCTATCTTACGTAATAATGCCTTTATATACGGGTCACGTTGCGATGCTTGGCGCAGTTGGTCTAACTCTAAGGGGAGCCGTCGACAGCGCCCATCCTGTTACTTCGTCATCCTTATATTTAATATTCGAAATGTGAGTTTAGTTTAGTCGATAAACTATTTGGATCCGGATTCTGTTTCACAAGTTTCTTTATTTATTTGTCTATCCTCTGATGATCCCGGTAAAACATAATACTTCAACTCACTGCCCGGTTTTTTTTCTGCAGCAGACATCATCAATTATGTTTATTCAGTAGTTTCGATGGGAAAGTTGTGTTTATTCATGAAAAAAAACCTCAACTATTTACATGTGCTATTGTAAAGAACGGCTTTCGCCCAGCTGCCCCGGTAGCCTAGTGGACAGTGATATGGATCGCCAGACTACAGTGCCCATTTTTCATCGAATGTTTCGGTTCTCGGCAAGTGTATCGTTGGGATAATTTTAATTTAAGGGAAAGCAAGGCTCCGAGATCCTAATTCCTCTCACACAGGGTGAAAGTTGGTTACAATTTGTAGGGATCGACGATATCTGCTGCCGGAAAAAGTACGTCCCGGCTCGGCTGTTGTTGTATATCGCGCGGCATTTTACATCAGCAGATGAAAGCATCTTTTCGTAATTATCACGTGCGTTTTAATCGGCTGCTACGTCAGCGCTCGCTCCAGTCAACCATTCAAATTTATGGAAATGGCTGGGAACGAGATAAAGAGATTTCAGAAGTTTCCCGGATGTCTACGCCAAACCTTTAGGCATTTGGAGGGCAGTAGACGAGATAATCATCGGGCGGGTGAATGCAGGGGTTTTTGATGAAAATTGACAGTGTATTTGATTTTTGTTAGTGGTAAAACTTGGGATCCGCATTTGGAAAGTCCCCATGTCTCAAAAATGCAACCAAAGGTTCGTGTTTCTAGGCCTATTGGTAGCCACTGACTGGTTGTTTGCCTGTTTAGGTTAAGAAGAATACACGAGAAAGTGTGGATTCGTAATTTAAGAATTCACGAGGTGCGAAGCGCCGAGTGAATTCGTAAATTAAGAATCCACACTTGCGAGTGTATTCTTCGGCTTAAACCATTGCGTCAAGAGAAGTATTGGCATTAACAGTGAGTGGAGATGAAAAGACTTCAGAAAAATGTTGCAACCTGACGCCACTTCCGCGATTGTGTACAAAGTCTATGGAGAGTTAAGACAATTTTTAGAGTATTTCCTAACAAAATTGGAAATATTTCTCAGTCCCAGATTCATGTCTTATCGTCATTTTGGAAAGAATGACCTTCATGGAGATGATATATGAAGAAAAAATAGGCGTCAGGTTGCAACATTTTTCCCGGCTCCTTCCGTCGTTATAATTATGGATAGTTCAGAGTTTCAGACGATGATTCCTTTCTGACTCGGAAGTAGGTTTTGCAGTGACGGCGGAGAATCTGACAGTGAAGATGCACTGGTAATTTAAGTTTTCACGCATTCGGTCCTGTTAATGCTCATTATGGAGATTATTATTGTCCGACGTGTTCAAAGTGTGGACTCGTAATTCCGAATCCACATTTTACTAAAGATTCTTCGTTCCGAATCCACACTTTGTGACCAGCGTAACAGATTCGTAGTTCCGAATCCACACTTTTAACAATAGTGCGACGTCAAAGCAATGGTTTTATACCGATTTAAAGTTGCTTAAGCATGCTAATCCGGCAGCCTGAGGTGTGGCCAGTGCCGCCTGTTTGTTTTTCAGCTTTGTGCGCAAGTGTGTTTGCCCGTTGACGTATAGTTAGCCAAACGGATCATTTTTAGCCAAGCTGCCGGACAATTAAATTTTGGAATAAAAAGACATATGTAAATTAGCTGTTACTTAGAAAGAAATGCATCGCGTGCTCTTCAAAACAGGGATTTTCTTTCGCCTAACGAATGTTCAATTTGTATGTTTTGTTTTTAACGAAAAAAAAACTTTTTTTATTCCGAGTTTGGGCGCCTGCACCTCCCTGAGAAAGGCTTTCATTTTGCGCACAAATAAACCACCCTGCGATGTTGGAAAATATAAAAATTTAAAAACAGATCTATTTTTTTCGAGTTGAAACTCGAAAACAGCATGGAACGCATGATTACATTTTGGAACAAAAACACAAATTAGTTCGGTACTTGACCAGTCGTCTTGGTCACGTCTATATGCCGGGCTGGATTTGGATTTTGTCAAGCGCCCTCATCATAGAGGGCGCTATCAACAAGATGATGAAGCGTCTTGGGATTTTTTGAGAAATTCCGATCAAACCTCACACGAAGGCTTCAAACATAATTAGCGCACGTGGACGAGCGCTTTGTGACGCCCTTCCCAATCCTTACCTGACCTATATATACTGATAATTATGATCGATCTATCGATCTTACTATCGATTACATTATGTGGGATCTATAAGTTCCACCCCAGACTCTGATCCCGTGCCATATCTGCTCCTCCCCATTCATTCCACTTCCCACGTCGGAGTATTGCATTCCCCCGTGGTGCGAGATAATTGTCTATTTAATATCGTTCACAAACGAAGCAGAGATGAAGGACGTCTGGTAACGTAAACACGTCTCGTGTGACAATAGTTTGAGGGCCATATAGGTCGCCGGCTGTCTTCCAGAGCCGTATTTGTATTGAGACGTGAGCGAGTCAATGCATGAAAACAGCCGTAATCATACCGTTCAGTCTGATCAAACATCCGGGTGCGACCACGGTACACTCCTCGCTGCTCGAACCTATCAAACATCATCTTTCGGCAGAATGGTAAGTCCGTGCATCGGATACGGAACACAAATTTCTCCATGATATTATAACAAGGACAGTATCCATAATGCAAATTCAACCATATATTTTATCCACCTGTTTATTAGTAATGCTGCTGCTGCATACTTAATGTTGAATCAACATTAAAGGGAATGTACATCATTGGTTTTTGCTGTAATTTTCACTAGCAGTATTACAGAGTACTAATATTAGTAATAAACAGGTGGTTTGAAATTAAACTTTGTGTCAGTGGAAGTTCTACTTTTTCACCCATGAGCCTTTTGACTACTGTATTTCATCAATGTTATCCTTGATTATGATACTGATCTTGTTGCAAATATTCCTCCGTAACATGTACAATACTGTGCATGTACACCCCTGCTCTCTCTATGTACATTCGTACACATACACCACCGACTGACCGTAGGAGAACCATAAAGGTTCCTCGCTCTATTGGAGAACTCAGTCCTCTAGTCTATGGTGAGACAGCTAGTGCAATGTATTTGGACAATAGTGATTCTTGTAAGCCTTTGTCCTGCTGCCGTTCGTTGTGGCAGGGAATCTTGGGGGGGGGGGGGAATCTCCGTCCACACCGTAACAACATACATGTAGTCCAAATTTGCAGGGGGAATTCGGGGGTGGGGTAGGGGTGGAGGTTGGTATTCTTGGGGGGGGGGGGGGCGATAGGAAGAAACAACTGTGAGTGCGGTGTTAGCAAAGTTTTAATTTGAATAATTAATTAAGTACCGACCAACCAATTACAGTGAAATCTCGATAACTCAAACTCTCTCGAAACAACTCACTTAAGTCAAACAAAGAATCCATTGCCTTCAGTAGTACAACAATGATAACTGAAAATTCTGCTGAAGTATGTGTGCTTTAAACTCTCATAAATATTATGAGTAAGATTAGTTTCAATACTCGCTGTCTTCCTTTAGCGGCTGATCAAAGTGGCAACCGTTGCTCTGGCTGGTGCTTCATGTTATGTCGGAATTCTATTAATCTACACCGTATTGACGCATACGAATGGTGAGTACACGCTGTACTGTATAACGGAGCTAAGGTGGTTATATAGGAGGGTTTTTTTTGTTTAAGGAGATAATAAGATGGAATTTGCGTCGGTTTGAAATTCAATATTGCGTTTTGCCCTGTTGTGCCAGTGTGCATACAGACCTTATATATATTCGTGCACGTTCATCAAAACTATTGTGAAAGTTTACCATGTAGGCTACACTTTTGTTTTAATGCACCATAATGTCGGATAACTTCAATTGTTTGGTTTAATAGCTCCATGGTTTAATTGCCTTAGGTTCAAGTCTGCAGCCTCGTTCACAGCAGGATACTAATCACGTGATCAGACATGTTGAGGGATTTGCCCAAGCCGGGAGCGAGAATGCACCTATGAACGGAAGTGACATCATTCGTAATGATCGCAACCGGAAGTCCACGTATGATGATGCTCGTGCTCATGCGCAAAAAGAAGAAAACGTCACTTTCAGCATTAAGCCCGCCCTCATCGATATCGATCAAGCCAAATTAACCACTGACGCCCTCTACCGGCAACTCGTCGTCGTGACTGCATTCTCACAGAACCACTACAAGGAGGCTTTGGGTATGATAGGTTCTGCCCAACAGACCATGCCCAACACACGTATAGTGGTATACGATCTCGGTATCCAAGAAAGTTACAAAGATAAGGTATATGAAAATTGTCCGGTCCTACGTTACCCTAAAATTTATTGTACAACACTTTTTGGGTTTTGTCTCATAATTCAGGTTTATTACTTCGTCCACTCACAAGCATCGATGTTTCGTTATAGCGGTAAAACTTTGCTAAACACAAAGTCCTTAGTTCGTATTTTTTTCTTTAGAACAAAATTCGGGGAAGGGAACGAAAGATGATAAAAGTAGATATTCACGATCATTTAATATTTGTCGTGTTTCATCAGGTCCGAGCGTTATGCAATGTGGAATTACGTCCTTTCCAGTTCAACAAGTACCCAGCCTTTGTCAAGAAAGTTCTTACCTTTTCTTGGAAGATCATCATCATCAAGGTTAGTCATGTTTCTCAACTACATGATTAAGCAAAATAAAACTTTCACACGAACGCGAAATGAACTTAGAATCTCAATATGGTGAATTAGGATGGGAAGTTGATCGATACAGTCGTTCAAAATAGACTGGATATGTGATTATAATAATTTATTGGACTCATGCTTTTCTCTTTTCATCGTTCAGGAAGCTGTTAATGAGTTTGGCGTAGTCTTCTGGGCCGATGCATCCGTCAGATTCAGACAACCTCTAAAAGCACTCCTTCCTTTCGCCCAGGATCACCATGGTTACCTATCACGTATCCATAGCTACAAGGCCGACACCAAAAGTCCCATTAAGCACAACTTTTACTACACACACGAGCTCATGTACAAGTGGCTCGGAGTCGACAAGGAGAAATATGCCAAGTCGTCTTACGCCCCTCACGTGGCGGCGAACCGACAACTGGTTATCAACAGTTCCACCGTTCAGCAGAACTTCTTACGACCGCTGTACGCTTGCGCAATGGACAAGAACTGTATCGTTCCCCCTGGTTCTAAGCACGGGCGACACCGCTACGACGCGTCTGCGCTGATGCTAGTGATTCACAAGTATTTTCCTGGGGAGTTTAGTCGAGAAAATGACCACTTGAAGGACTTGGATGAAGTCATTTATATGCATAGAAAGTCGAATGATTGGGAAACTGCAAGGAACTGTTAAATTTAGAACTTAAATCAAAATTTATTAACGAAATTTCTACTGGCGCTGGCCAAGCTGAAGTACTTAAGACAATACAATATTATTTAAACAATTGGTCTGGACTTTAATATACTCGTTACCGTGGTCTCCAAACTGCACGCGCGCATAACTTAAAGGGAAGATACAACATTTGCAAAAACATCAAAAAACGAAATGATCAAATTATCACGAAAAACCTTACGCGATTGTTGGGGGATGACAGCCTAAAGCATCCTGTAAAATCGTGTCTCCTGGTGTGCTGACATTTTCAAGAAAAATTGTATTTTCCCAATGCTGGTCGGCCGACGAGCGTTGGAGAAAACTGGTTTTTATCAAAAACCGCTCCGAATTTTTCATAAAAGTTGTTCCGCATTCTCTTTGCAATTGATTACACACCTGTGAAAGGGTACAAGCCTGCCAGACTGATTCTCTGACCTTACAATTCCCAAAAGTCTATACATTTCTCTGTTTCATCAAAATTAAGTGGGGTCAGGGAACCAGACTACAAAACCATGATTGGTTTTCTTGGTTTTTCCAGCATCTACAAGCACAAAACATGAAACAAGTCAGTTTAACAATATTTGCTATAACATACTATTCCTCCAAATCCATTTATTTCTGAAAATTGCATCAAAAGCAAATGTTGTACATTCCCTTTAATCGTGCTTGACTAGACTGTGACACCGAGTAAATTTTGTTGGGGGCGTTAGATCAGAATTTTTACATTATTTAAAAAATATTTTTAACATTTACGACTGTTGTAAAGACTATTCATAATTCCACGTTTATACTAGCACGTTGTCGTAAAAGTTGGTACCTTGATCCGGTCTTAACTTTTTCTTTCAAATGGGGCTTGCGGTCGCTGCCGAAGTTAATTGAACGTGATGGGGGAGTAATAAATAACCGTCTGATATTTTTTACACAAACCCCCGGTGAAGGGGGTTTTGCATAGAAATTTTCAGATGCCAACTTTGACGACAATGTGTTGATAATGTTTACGACTTTTGTAGAGACTATTAATTCGATGGCATAAAGTGCAATCGTTTATTCATAATTTGCAAACAATATGCAATTAACTGAATGAAAAATGTGTTTACCAATATATTAAAAGGTTTCCAAAAGGTGAAAATTGGTTTTATGGTTACCTTATACAACTAGGTATTCATTTAGGTGATGGGGAGCTAGCTGTCCTGCGACCCTTTGGTTTTGTACAGATTCTGATCGTCATAATGACGTCATCAGATTTCAAATTACGAGCGATTTCTGTTCATAAAGTGTCATCTTGGCGTTCATAACATGGTAACCAAATGAATCATGTTCACACTCTGTGCTGTGATAGTTCCTTGGTATTTGTCTTAGTGAAGCCGCTTCACCTAATTGACTCCGGGGTTACGTTTACCGGAAGTTAATGAATTCGAAAAATCGAATTACCGAACCGAGACATTTTTATAATAAAACAAACACATTTCTTCCAAACGGTTTAAGGGATATTTATAAAACTTGGACGAACAAGTAGGCCTACCCAATTGTCCGTATAGATGTGGAAATGTTGTCATTATCACAGCATAATATTTTTGGACCAGACTTGACAACATACCTCGAACTATAACTCTTGAACTGATTGATCATTGTGTTCATTTTTGTGAGGTTGAACAGTTTTGCTTTTCGTGTACAAAACCGCTTGACCTTTACTTTAGAGGCCCCGGAATTGCAGCTTATTGAAATGAAATTTAACTTGAAAACGGCCTTATTTTTTACTTTTGCTAATAAGACCAGGGTGACCGTTTTAGCCGATTTTCGGCTAACTTTGACAGAATTTTTGTTAAAAAACGAGTTTGACAGAAAATTTGACAGAATGGATTTTTTTGGCAGATTTCTGGCTGAATTCTGCAAAAATGGTTATTTGACAGAAAAACAGCAAATTTGAACAAAAAATGGTACATTTGTTTAAGAAAGCTTCAATCCTTTCAAACAAACCCTTGCATAATGGGACAGGTTGGCTGGTCTAGGTGCTGAGGTTCACTGGGAAACGGACTTCGTCGTGGCCAGATCCGTGTTTTGCCGGAAATTATAATTTCTCAACATCTTTATGAGACTATGGATTGTTTATAATGTAATTTGAACCTTAATTAAGGCAAAAGTACCAATCTGCATGTGATTTTCAGTGTTTATATATAGTGCATTTCGAGTAATTCTGGGGCCGAATTTGGCAGATTTTTGATAAATCTGACCGATTTTTGATGTGCATTTAGCAGAATTTGGCTCTGGCCTTACGGTCACCCTGCATGAGACGTCGTCACTTTCATCGGCTGACATTTTAAAACACTTGCTCCGTAGGGTCAACCTAGTACGCCTGAATTGAATGTAAGCCTAGTCTGGCTGGAGTGAGCTCCCGGCGAACGCCGGGATAACCCTATTAACACCTGGTAATTTAGACGTATACGTGTGAATTTCTTCGGCAATTTTAATTAGGTTAGAATTACGCACGATGTAGTACTCAAATCCCCAAAACAATTAACCAAAGAGAAACCATCCAACCAATTCTTGGTTATGACCGCCAAAACGCACCCCAGCTCAGGTGGTCATGACCTTTATTCAATTTATCTCTTCAGGGCCGGGGTGCGGGTGTGATTGTGATTATGCCAATGTATAAAAATAAATATGAAAATCAAAGTATCAAATGCTTCTAGGATTTGGAGATATGTAAACTATTAATGGTTGAACAAAAACAACAAACAAAAGGAATTTTTTACGAAATGAGGAAAAAAGTTGGGCATTTGACCCAGACGTGATTTGAACACGCAACCTTCTGATCTGGAGTCAGACGCGCTACCGTTGCGCCACTGAGTCAGGCTTGGATAGCGAGGAGATTCTAAACTTTATATACAATAGAATGCATAAATTTTGTTTTCTTATCAATTCTCTTTATTTTGTCTTGCTTTTCTTTATATAAATGTCCTATCATTATCAAGGATGTTAGACTTATCATCAAATGTTTCTCTTAGTTCAACCTATTTCATTGAATATTCTATTGCGGAACTCACGACCCGGAAGTGAATGTTGGGCCCCTTGACTGTAGAGAGGGAAACCCGTTTGTCGGCCTTTTCGACTGCCATGTCAAGCTTTCACAAGGTACGTCGAGTCACTGCGCCAAAATGTGATGTTTCTACAAAATTCAGAAATGTATTTTAAAATTCTAAAGCTTTCATTTTAAGAAGGGACTTATACTGAATATATTTGGTCTATTTGTAGTTTGAAATGGTTAACAAATCGAATAAAAACGCTTCCAAAAAACGCTCTTTCAAGTTTCAGCACAGTTTTGTCCTAGACTGAGGCTGTGAGGGCGCCCTACATTAATGTATTTGGTCATGCGGGGTTTTATTTCATGTAGGGCCTAGGCCTAATTTGGTAATTGCTAGTCCAGTATTTTAATTTTAATTGAAACTTTAAAAGACGGGGGAAAATGTTGCAACCTGACCATGCTGACGCCACCTTTTTCATCTCAATTGAAAGTCATTCATTGCAACATTTTCCAGTAATAATATTGTTGATGTACCCTAACGTGGCGCGGCCCCTAACGTGGCGCACTTTGATTTTTCGCCTGTAGCGCCTACCTAGAGCAAAAGTTTGGTACAACTATAGAATGCAGGGCCACTTTACTCTACATCCGCGCCTCCGTACGGCTGCGTGGAGGCGTGGAACCGCAGTCGACCTACCTCTGAAAATCGATCGTGGAGTCGTGGAGCCGCAGAAAATTGCGCCCTCTATCGGTGCGCGTCTCTGCGACTCCGCGACTCCGCGCCTCCACCACTGAGAGACAGTGCCCCGTCGCCCTCCCCCCCCCCCTTCCTAATTTGCGCGCCCAATTAAAGCGACTCTGCGACTCCGCGACTCCGCGCCTCCGCGACTCCAGACAGTGCCCCGTCGCCCTCCCCCCTTCCTAATTGGCCCGCCCAATTAAAGTGACTCTGCGACTCCGCGCCTCCGCGACTCCAGACAGTGCCCTGTCGCCCTCCCCCCCCCTTCCTAATTGGCCCGCCCATTTAAAATGGATATGGTGCTTCGTTCTCAAAAAGATTCCGCCGAGAATTGCGCCCTCTATCGGTACGCGTCTCTGCGACTCCGCGACTCCGCGCCTCCGCCACTCCAGTGCCCCGCGTCTCCGCGATTCTGCGACTCCAAGACTCCGCGCCTCCGCCGCTCCAGACAGTGCCCCCAACACATTTACAAGCACGCCCTCCCTTCCGATCCTTCATGAGAAGCTTTGAAGACAAGTGCAGTGCATTCCTTCGCTGTACTTAGCACTTTTTTGCAGGTTTGCATATCTATTACTCCTATTCCATCCACGCCTCCAGGCAAAATAAAAAACCTTGCTTCGGCGTGGCCCTGCATTCTATAGTTGCTCCAAAAGTTTTAACTGAAATTTCACAGAAAGTGAAAAAAACTGAAATTTCATCAAGTTCTAAACAGTCCTGTTCATAAATAGTGAGTTTATTTACCCGTAATAAAGTTCATGAAGTTAGAAGGATTTTATTTTCAAGTGCAAAGTGAACCCTTTGATAATGCCCTGAAAAATAAGAAAATAATTTTCTGACAAACATCTGGCTGGGTATGTAAGTAGAGATAATAATTATTTATCAGAATTTATCAAGTTTACAGGAATTCTTAAGTGTTAATTTGGAATTTTCCAAGATTTATTCAAGTGCGCCACGTTAGGGAACACTCCACCAATTTGTGCCCAATTTCCGGACGCCACCGTTTTTGAATTTCGGATTAAATTTTATGAAACTGAAATTGTTCACAGAGGTTAAATAGCAAGCATTAATAAGGTAAAAGTACTCATGGTACTAGTATTTCAATGCATGAATTTGAGGTTTGTCAACAAAGAGGTTTGGCAACACTACACAAGGAAAGTTGGGTAAGCTTCGAAGTGCGCCACGTTAGGGAACACGACTATATATTGTTAGAAATAGAACTTTGCCAAATTTTGATTTTAAAGTTTACATTTTTATAATTAAGAAATTGTAGGCTAGTTATTTTGTTTAACATTTGTTTAACGCTAGAAGCACACTCACACTCAGTGTTCTCCAACATGTAGAACAAACCTGGCGCCCCGCCATGCTTTCTGCGGCGCCCGCCATGTTTAAGAAGTCCCCGCCAAGCTTTAAAATCCTGCCGCCAGCTTTAAATTTTTTGACTCTACAGTGTACATTTACAACTAAAAGAATTTAGAAACAAGAATGACCACTTCATTTTCGAATAAAATTGAATGACTTCCCGCTGAACCTAGTCTAAGTTTGCGATGCGCGCGGATCATAACTCACTTCACTATTCTCTATGATCGATGCAGTTTAGTCTGGTATCGACTATTCCGTTCTCCTCTATCATCATATTATTCGGGGATCGTCTGGTAACAAGATGTACCATTGTTCCATGCAAAATAATTCTACACGACCTACGTACCAGGCATGCAACTTTTCCTCGGACCAGCTGATTTCCTCGTTTTTCACTTCACACTTATGCCATTCAAAATTGAAAATCACTGTACAAAGTCTTGTAAAGATTGAAGTTTCCTCGTTTTTCCTTTCTTCCAAGTTGCATGCCTGACGTACATGTACTTGTACGTATACGTACACACGTGTACTGCTTGGACTGCAGGCCTGGCGACGTGCGTGTTACTGTTAAATACGTTTGCGGAATTTGCAGCGGGCATTGGCATCGTTTTTTAATAGTCTTTGACTAAAGGATGTTTTAAACCCTAGACTTCGGGGTTAAGGCTTACTTTTGTTGGATGTTGTATTCCATGAACTTCAGTTGTAGATAGCCTTATAATATAATAAAATGTTTCGTTTGCTTCCCAGTAAATTGCAGGGCTTGAAACGACGGCCACGACGGCCAGTGCCGTCGTTGCCTTCTCACTGGCCGAGGTGCCCCACAAAAAATCCCTGTCTTCGGCGGCCAGTTTTGCCTTGCCCCATTTTTACCTTGGCCGTCGTGCCCTTTTTGCAGAAACATCCATCAGCCTATTAAAACCACTATAATCCTTGATTTCAGTTGTTTTTCCACACATTGTCAATGTATTTCGATGTCATCCCAGCCCGATCGGGGTTGTCTTAAAATCTCGCTGAATCAATGACACGCGGCCGGCCGTGGCCAAACACCAGCGATTCCCCATGCACTGTACGTACTATTAGGTACGATGTACACACACTGACAACCGAATCCCCAGTTCCGGAGTGTGCCGATACTTCAAGTAGCGACAACCCCGCCGCAAAAATATATATCTGTATTAGTACACACACACACCAGCAGGAGTACGTACGGCAGATCTTACGTGCAGCCAACCGACTTTCTTTTTCTCAGTGCTTGCACGCGCGGTACACAATATAATACGCATTTCGTGTACGAGGCAAATGAGCTCGAGGGCAAAACACGCGTGCACATGGTGGTGTTCCAATCATGCATGCCGATTGTCAAAAGTTATAATTGGCGATCGTGTATGGGCCCGGTTCCCTAAGAGAACAAAATCCACTTTTAATTTATTTGACTTACCAAACTAGTTGGCGACATTAAGAACATACAGGTAGGTCATAAATAGAGGAAATTGTTTTGGGGAAAATGACGATGACGACGACAAAACGCAACATGAAAATGAAGATGACGATCGCACGGCACCGGCACCACCCATAAAATTGCGTACAAATACCGTAATTGTATCCCATTTTTTTTTTTTCAAAATTACAAAAAGGTGTCATTTGATCTGAAAGAAGTCTGCTTTAGGTTGAAAAGGTAATTTTTGAATGCTAAAAAAATCGGGGGAACTGGCCTGGAATCGCCTCAGATTGCACCACAGAGCATCTAGAATCCAAAATTTTCTCCGCGCTCGCAGGAGTCCCCGCCGACCCAGCGCCAACCTTTAATTTTCAAAGTTGGAGAACACTGCACACTCTTAATGAAAAGAAGTCCCCGCCTTTTTCAGTCGTCTATTTTTCATGTAATTTCCAGATTTGTTTGCACATGTTTGCGTATCTAAATTCCAACATCGAAAAAGATCAAGCGCATGCTGGATCGTGTCTGCTGTTAGTCACGTAGACTTGAGTCAAGGTGCACATTGGTCCCATAAATTGTTGCCTGTCATTCAGTTTTCATGGTTTTGGTCAAAAGTGCGCCCGCATACATGCACTTTTGACCAAAACTGAATGAACAGGCAACAGCCGTACCAATGCACATTGTCAAAATTTGATGCAAGCTAGTGAGGGCGCGATTATCACAACCCATGACGTCATGCAACACGACGCTTTCATGAACAATGGCTGCAAAAGTCGTCTGAATTCAACTCGAAATTACAAGATAACTAGACCTCTGAAGGTGCCGAATTTCACGTTTTGTTGATATTAAGCAGTTGTAGACGGCATTGTGTGAGTATTAAGTGACAAAATAATTGCGATTTCAAATTGCTGTTCGGCTCCCCTAGCAACAGACTTTCCGCGCTCAGACCACAGGTGGGACGTGTGACGGTTAATACGGAGGTAGTCCAGTATTACCGTCACATTTATGGGACTAGGTGCACATGTGGTAATCAGGACACGAAGCGGAGCCAACAAAGTGGAGCAGAGCACGCACAGAGCCAACGAGCTCTGCCACGCGGATGGTCTTCTTTCAAGAATTCGTCTATGTTGATCATTAGATTAGGTTATATCGTCCATTTGTTTGAAAATAAAATTTTGGTGTTCTTTATTGTTGTCTTTGCAGACCTTGATTATCGACGGGAGGGGTCACCTCCAGGGCCGCTTGGCCTCGTTGGTGGCCAAGAACCTGCTCCAAGGTAAACTCCGAATGCCCGTAGGGTAAAACTAGACACAATCCCTGCTTTGACACAACGGAAAATCAATTGAGTATCAATTTTGGAGAATTCACATGGAATTAAAACAACGCATTTGCAGCGTATGTTTGGTTGCTGGCCATGATTTCACCCTCTCATAATTCATATTCTTTAAGTAAGCATTTTTTGATGATGGTAAAAATTGTATGCACTAAGCATGCTCATAGATAAAGTGTAGTCAAGTTGTTCAGTAAATTGAAGCAATAAAGAATGACGACGTAGTTCACCGTGTCTAGTTTTACTGTAGGATTGATTGTGAAATATATCTGATTGATCTGTCTGTGATGATAAAGTGTCCACGCTTTGTCGAGTTACTCAACAATGAGATCGATACCACATTCTAAACTATCTGAGACAGAAAACTTGTATGCTGATTCATATAAGTAATATTTGCATGGAAAATACTTTTTATGCTGCTTCATCTGCTACTGTGGAGTGGAGTGTCATGGCCTAGCGGTTAAGAGCATTGGACTTATGCTCTGGTGTTTCAGAGGCAACAGTGGTGTGGGTTCGAGCCCGGGCCCGGACACTTGTGCCCTTAAGCAAGGCACTTAACCATTATTGCTTCGTCCTTCGGATGGGACGTTAAGCCGGAGGTCCCGTGTGTAAAGGCCTAACGCACGTAAAAGAACCCAGTAACACTTATCGCTAAGAGAAGGGGTTTGCCCCGGTGTTTCTGGCCTCCTAGTTATACTCCCTCGTGGAAGTCTTTAGGAGAAGAACCAACCAAGTACCAAGTACTGTTCAGAATTGTTGCTGTATTGCGAATCCACCCTTTGGAGTGTTGCCAGTTCATTTTTGTGATGACATTCCAGCTATTTTCTGTATTACAAAAATCTTTACAATTATGCGGATAAAATTGAAAGTGTGGACAGGGCTTGTCAAATGCGATGTTGTGTTCCTTGTTGAGCAAAGGTTTTTAATGTTTACCCCCAACCAGGTCAAAAGATTGTGGTGGTGCGATGTGAAGACATCAACATCTCTGGCAGTTTCTACCGAAACAAGCGTAAGTTCATCCAATGACATTTAAAAGCTGTTGAATTGTGTGGTTTTCTGCATGAAGTTGCACTGTTCAAGAAACTTAAACAGTAATCTTGTAATCTGTCTATGATGATACAGTGATCCCACATTTCTTCGAGCAACTCAGCTGTGAGATCATACCTCACATGTACCACCATCTGAGACAGAAAATATACAGTCCCTTAATTTATAGATTCAAGGACAGTAAACTCCGGCTAAATTGATATCGTACAACTCGTCAAATCGCTCAAGTCGGCCGTCTGATTAAAGTCCCGATTGTCCGTAATGCATTTCCATTAAATTTTTTTATTTCTAAGTCGGCTTTTATAAGTCGCCATTTCGCTCAAGTCGTCGTGTTACTCTCGGTCCCCTTTCCATAAAAAGCATTACAAAATCCTTTGTGTAAGTCGGCATTCAACAAATCACGGATTGGCATCGACTTCCTGTACTGCGGTTGGCAAAGTGTCCAGTGAAAAGTGGTTTCGCACGGCCCGTGATCGCTGCATGCATTGGTGTCGAAAAAGAGTGTCCTACTAGATACTGCACACATCGCATATGCATCGTGAGCATATCAATACCAGTACCCCCTCTAGGCTGTGCGCATGCGCTCTGTCCATTTTGGGGGTCGTCTTATTGAATGACTACTGCTGCAGTCAATGCGTGCGTGGTATATAGCGGACCACGCACGCATTTAATTCGTTACTGTGCATGTACATCGTGGTCTCCACTATCAGTACCCCAATCGTGATGATACAATTCGAGGATTAATTTGCTGGATTCAACTCTAGCATTAAGGAGATAATCCAGGGTAAATCGAAGCCAATTAGTGCAATGAATCATGTGTGCAAAAGACCATTCATGTAAGTTGGCAAAAAGACAACTTACAAAAAGATATCGGCATTCGCTTAAGTCGTCACCAATTCTGGGGTCCTGCGAGTGCCGGTTTAGCTGGAGTATACTGTATACAGTCCTTTAATTTATAGATTCAAGTATCTGCATGGCACACGTAATTCTAAGTAACAAAATTGATTGATTTTGTTTTTGCAGTGAAGTACTTGCAGTTCTTGCGCAAGAGGACCAACACCAAGCCTAGCCGAGGTCCTTACCATCTCAGATCACCCAGCCGTATCTTCTGGAGAGTCATCCGAGGTAAGAACTGCAGCAACAATTTGACTCCTTGTTTGTCCTCTTCGTCCTCTCTTCTGGATTTGTTCATAAGCCCTGCACATATTTAGCAGCAAGATAGCAATGACTTAATCCTATCCATCCTCCAACATCCAAAATCAACAAGGCTGGTTTTTTTTAGGATTTTGGAAGATCGGGACTGTTTGTCTCACTAGTGCCGTTAATTTTGACAGATGCATTGTGTTGAGGTCTTAAGCTGTACCCTGCATTGTTTATTTTCAGCTATGCAGAATTGAGACCTACATTTTACTGAATATCGTCCCCACTGCCTCAGTATATTACAGTGATTGTTGGAGGAATTTGAAGGATTGAGGCTATGGTCCTCCCTCCACTGAACAAATTCAAGAAGTTAATGTATGATTTTTGAGGATAGAGGCTGTATGCAATTTTCACATGGAGGCAGTTGGAGGATTTTTGTAGGATTGAGGATGGATCCTAGCAAAAGGGGCCTAGGGGGATGGGGTTAAGTATTTATCTGCTGTTTGCAATCTGTCTATGATGATACAGTGATCCCACAGTTCTTTGAGCTGCTTAGCCGTGAGATCAAACCTCACATGTACCACCATCTGAGACAGAAAATTTGCCGTCCTCTTAAGTTCCTGGACACTTTTAAGCTGCCTAATATTTAGCACACAAAAAAACCGATCGTCTTATTGTACAAAGTCACAGATTGTAAAAGTGGAACCAATTATTTCTACAAGACCCATACACCTGTTAATCCACTTGACGTACCCGTTAATCCCTTAGGTATGTTGCCCCACAAGCGTGCCCGAGGCAAGGGGGCCCTGAACAGACTGAAGGTGTTTGAAGGCGTGCCCCCTCCTTACGACAAGGTATGCTTTGCTGGCACTGTCGGCACAGAATGGTGATCAAAAGCCCAGAATGTGGTGGTCAACACCGCCCTTGAAATTGGGCCAAAGTTAAATGGGTTGGAAATGTTTTCACTAATACACATACATGAATCAGTGGTGAACTTCTAAACATGCTAAATGATGAATTGCATTCAAACTGTTTACTGCCAAAGAAGTGTGCATTTGTGCTGCCGATGATGTTGACTATATACACTTAACCTACATTGTTTGATGTTCGGTGAGAAGAATAACCAATTCTGAGGCACCACCTATGCACATGTTCCATATCAAACCTGACATATGATCCATATTTCTATTTTGTGGGGGTTCAGTTGAAGAAGACAATCGTCTGTTTTTCGAAATTTGGTGTTTTTTTGGTGAAAATGAATAAATGTATCAATGTCTACCACCTGGTAAGGCTACATTTTCGAAAAATTGATTAAAATCTTCATTAACCTAATTAACGAATGGGCGAATTTGCCAAAAGTGCCGTTTTGCGTTTTCACGAAGGGGCGAATTTCCGCACTCTATGTATCAATACATTTTCAGTAAATAAATACATTGGCGTGTATATCACGAAAGGGCGAATTTCATGCGCGTGAAATAAACGTTTTCACGAAGGGGCGAATTTTAAGGCGCATGCGCAGTGGGGCAGAATCTGCATGTACTGTACAAAAAATGCATTGACTCAGACCGCAGAAGGGCGAAATCTGCGCGTAGTCACTTTAGCGTTTTCACTAGGGGTGAATTTTTTAATTGGTCTTTTTTTTGCGTTTTCACGTACAGCCACTTCTCTTAATTGATTAATTCTGCAAAACTAATCGCCTATTTTTCTTAAAGTTATGCATCCTTAAGTTTCAAATTGTCAAATGAAAAAAGGACCAACTTAAAATGTGATTATCTCGAATGTTCGTTCAGACAGTGAAATACTAAATTCGCCTCTTCGTGAAAACGGTGACGAAATAGACACTAGACCCGTCTCAAATGATGTCACTGCCTACAGATTGTCACGTGCATTGGCATTTTGGGTGTCCCATTGTCATGACTTGCATCGGCTGTGCCGTATTTCGAAGGAATTTCAAGCAACACGGTTGTGTGTATGGAACAATAATTTGCCTACTGTGCGTACACGTACCTGATGGCGTTGAATACGCAGTTGTAATTAGCCTACCAAGATGGCTGTCTATGAGAGGGATCTGTTGGAAACGGACAAGAATCATTTCTCTAACCAATTTTAGGTGGAGCTGGGTATCCTCAACCCTAACCCTACTAAATGCAACAGAAAGCAACAAAGGTGAAAAGTTGTCGCATACTGTTGCATTTAGCAGCAGTAACCCTACTAAATTCAACAGAAAGCAACAAAGGTGAAAAGTTGTTGCACACTGTTGCATTTAGCAGCAGTAACCCTACTAAATTCAACAGAAAGCAACAAAGGTGAAAAGTTGTTGCATACTGTTGCATTTTAGCAGCCAACTCGACTTCCTGTGCTTTGTTGCATCTTGTTGCATTTAGCAAGGTAACTGCTCATAGTGCCAAGGCTGATATATTCAGAATCCACTGTTCCATTTGGTTGCATTTAGCAGGGTAACTGCTGGGTGCCAAGGCTGGTATGCACTGGTTTCCCTAACCATGCTGAATGCAACAGAAAGCAACACAGGTGAAAAGTTGTTGCATACTGTTGCATTTAGCAGTCAACTCGACTTCCCGTGCTTTGTTGCATCTTGTTGCATTTAGCATGGTTACTGCTCATAGTGCCAAAGGCAATTACAACACAGCCCACAGTTGCCCCAAGAATACCCGATTGGGGTTAGGGTAAAGTCACTTTCAGAAATATGCTTCATCAAGAAAAATGCAATTTTACAGTGGATTTACTTGAGTGATAACACTCGTCGTTGTTCCTCTTGCAGAAGAAGCGCTTTGTTGCTCCCCCTGCCCTGCGATCTGTGCGTCTCAAGCAGAACAGAGATGTAAGTTACCGACTGACTTGTCATTGTTCCTTCTAAACCGTCTAGATTGAATCTCAAGTCATATCTTCACTTTAATTTTTAGATTTGAAGGTCAAGTTCTTGATTCAATCAAAATTTTTCCAAAAACTTGGTGGAAAATGTTTAGATTTACTTTTTAAGGATTGGAACCCACAACCCCATGCTCAATATGATCCTGTAATCATTTGAACCAGCCAGCTAAAACCGACAAACTCAGTGGAAGAGTGGTTAAGAGGTCTTCACAATTAAAGAAGAGGTTGTGGGTTCGAATCCCATCAGTGTTAAAGCTATAGTCCATCATTTGCAGCTATCCGAAAAGTAACTGGCGTAATTATTGTTGAAAAACATACTTGGTTGAAAGATAGTAAGTGGACTAAACTCCCTGTGAAATTATTCTTTCTGGCAAGCTGTCATTTTGAAGTAATCAACGAAAGAAGGCCTTTCCAACAGTGCGTCTTAAGACGAACCGTAGGAAATTTAAATTAGTAGTTCGGTTTGTTATTCGGCGAAGCGCGCGAAAGCATTGGCATGACGCACATGCGCGCGCGTTTGCTATAATTCGTCGGATCAGTGCGCGACATCGCGTATAGCTGCAATTCAAAACAATTCAAAACATGATTCAGCAACTTTTGATTTGAAATTGAGATCCTAGAATGCTGTTTTTCTCGGAATATTCAGCTGAAGCTGAGCTAAAACTTCATCAGGTTGTTCAGTATCCTTCATTAGATTTTGAACACTTTTGTTGCTTCAAACGAACAAAATGCACAAATTACAAATGATGGACTATATCTTTAACGTGTGGTGTTTTTTGCTCACTATTAAAAGCAGTAGAACATATGGTGCTTGCAACTTAAATGGTTATATACAACATTTTCAAATGTCCATGAACAAACCTACCAAATTATTATGAAATACCTTACTTGACTTTAAGTAAACAATAGTCTCAATCGTCCTGTGAAATCATGGCACCTTTTTAACATTGAGGCAGTTGGAGGATTTTTTTTGTAGGATTGAGGATGGATCCTAGCAAAAGGGGCCTAAGCAGTTGGGGTTAATTATTTATCTGCGTTTTTGTCAATTGTCTGTGATGATGCAGTGATCCCACAGTTCTTTGAGCTGCTTAGCCGTGAGATCAAACCTCACATGTACCACCATCTGAGACACAAAACGGCAAAAACAAATGTATATATATCTTTAGTCCCACGAACCGGGGCGCTAGAACTCCTTTTTTGACATTTGGGATGTTGGTCTGTCGTACTAGCGTCCCACTTAGGAAGTGTTGTCAATGTTACAATTTCAAAGTTCACCACAAAAATCACGCAAAATACTTGACAAAAATACCTTTGAAAGCACCTACTGGCATCTCCGCATGTCAAAGACAAAGTAATGGGGCTTCAGTGATACTCAGGATTATTTTTGGGGTTGCAAATCCGTGAAATTCAACCACTATAGCACAGACATCATACAGCGATCATTCAATAACGTTATGGCTGTGATCTACTAACGCATGTCTATGGTAGTATGGACGTACACCATGTACATACAAACACGTACGTGAAGCAGGGGCCGGGACACGACCGTGACCTGTGTCAAAAAACAAACTCCGCATGTAGATCAGGGGATGCACCTACGACTGTACTCTTGTACCGCTCTAAATGGTATTTTTGTCAAGTAATTTGCGTGTTTTTTGTGGTGAACTTTGAAATTGTAACATTGACAATACTTCCTTAGTGGGACGCTAGTACGACAGACCAACACCCTAATTGTCAAAAAAGGAGTTCTAGCACCCCAGTTAGTGAGACTAATATACCTTTTAAGTTTGTAATTAGAAAAGCCAACTATTTAAACAAAAGGCATATTTTGGAACTGATTTGAAGGCGAAATAAGCAGAGCAAAATGTCTCTTTTTTCTGTGTCGTTGACAGTTCTGCAATCTGGGTCGCCTGGCTCATGAGGTGGGCTGGAAGTACAAGGACATCATTGAGAGTCTGGAAGAGAAACGCAAGGCTCGCTCCTGGGAACGTTGGAAGGTCAAGAGAAGTGCGCTGGTAAGACAACAAATGCAGAATTTGGAATCACAATTATAGAAAACTCAGAACCACACACACTCACAAGAGAGATTTATTCACATGGTGCTGCCGCAAACTTTTCTTGTCTTAGTATCTTTCCACCATGCAAACCTTCAAATCTCATCTGGAAATAAAGTTGCATTCTCCATGCTATTTTTGAGTTTCATCCCGAAAAATCAATTCCCTTTCTAAATTGTTAATTTTTCTTGCACTACAAAAGTTAATCATTTTTTTGTTGTTGAGACATCGACTGAAACAAATTGGCCAGTGTTAAGTTATTGAATCATTACTTTACAATTATTTCGAATTATTTGCTGACAGACAATATTTCCGTTCTCGCGGGGTAGGCTGGTTCCTGCCCTAAAATCAGTATCGATAATGTACGGACCGGGAGCCAGTCTGCTCACAAAGCAGATCTGGGGTTTTTTTTTCAGAGGGTTGCAGACATCCAAAATGGAAAAAGAAGTGGTTGTTGAAGAACACAGAGAGCGCAACTTTAAAACTGTGAATACCAATAGATGAGATGACCTCTAAATGAGATGTTCTCTCTGAATGTAAAGTTGATTTTTAAAAAAGTTCATTGACTTGGTTCTTTTGTTCCACTTTTAATTAAATTCTCTGAGAAATCTGCATTTAGTTTCCCCGGTCAGAGCCAGAGAGTTGGGACTCAAATCATAGAAATGTGTATTTTTACACTTGTGCACAGAACAACTTCTGAGGGACTAGTAGTAGGCATGAATCTTGACCGGTAGACGGAAGGCTCAATCACAGTTATTCGAGTCTGGACAGTGTTTCAGTTTTGTGAACAGAGCATGATTTCTGAATTTCTACACTCAACACGTACATGGAGAGTTCTTAGGCAACAGTGCCAACTGTTTTCTTTCTAAGAAGTGTGCATTTGTGCTGCCAATGATGTTGACGATTCACTTAACCTACATTGTTTGATGTTCAGTGAGAAGACTAGTCAATTCTGAGGCACCACCTTTGCACACAGGTTCCAAATGTCTATTTTGTGGGGTAAAATAATTTGAACTTATGTGATGCGACGGAACGCTTAACCCAAACAGTCCACCTATGTTAAGTTACGATGTAGTGTGCACGTCTGGATCATCTAGTTGTATTGTGATTCATTGTCACGTTGTTGAGTGACGCAAGCCTGGTTATGCTTATTCTGTGCTCAGATGCTGCTTGTGACCTGAGCACGAAAATGCCGATTGTTCTGTCGCAGGGGAAAGCGAATCGCAGGTCCAACTGCGGGCAGATTCAGGAGTCTGAACATTTATTGCAAAGATTAATTCGGGCGATTCGCAATGCAGTGCGCCACCAAGAGTTTGCCATGGATAGTCCATTTTTTCAAGTTTACTGTCGACAAAACATGGCCCATTTGAATGAGTGTCAGTGGACAACTTGAGCTAATTTGTGGTAGATTGGGGCATAGCGTTCTCTGACACCTTACAAAAAACAAGGTATTGATAAAGAGCAAAGAAAAGGGCAAACAGATACTCGAATCATACGCTTACGAAACGACTGACCGGAAAAACGAACAATTTCAAATGTCCCGTGCTGTGAATTTGTCGACCATCTCCCACAATGCACTGGGAAAATGAACTCTCCGTGGCAAACTCTTGGTGGCGCACGGCATTGTGAATCGCCTGAATTGACAGGATTGACCTCCGATGTAACCTAAAAGCTGTCAAGATTTGAATTTGTTTATAATGGGCAAACATTTAATGTTCAAAAAAATATGGAGATTTCCGATTAATTCCCCAAATCACATTATATTAACAAAACCTGTTTTGTCTTCTCTGCAGTCACTTCGTCGCAAAGCAGCCCGGAATGTGAAGACCAAGGTGGCCCCCTACCAGAAGATCATCCGTCAGTATGGCTACAGATAAACAACCAACAAGTCGACATATTCAACCCACGTCCCTACACTATTAGTGGAAGTCGTCTTAAGTCAAAAATTACTCCCAAGATTAAATCTTGTGTTTGAAAGTTGCATAAGGCAGTCATCAGGATTCTCAATTGTTTTTTGGTTTTCGAAAAAGCTGATAATACATTAAAGATATCGGAAGAAAAATGTAATACGTCGTTGTTTTGTTTTATTTGTTGTGTCTGGATAAATTAACTGTGTGGTATGTATTATACAAGTAATGAATGTTTATGAGTGCAATGGTAAGAATATCATGAGGTGACAGATGGAATGGTCCATTCTTTGCGGAGTGAAATGGAATATTCCATCTGTCACCAAGTTTATTATTTTCCATTGCATGAATTTGAGGATTCATTATTTTGTTTTATGCAATGTCTGAATTAATTCTGGTCATCTGATTGGTAATTAGCGTGACCACAATGGAACTTTGTTTTTGCGGGGCCATAGGTTGGGACGAATACAGTTTTGTAAGTTGATGATACATGATCAATGACCAACCAAACAGATGACGGGTATTTATTTTGGTGGTGTATCAAACCGAGTAAAGAATGGTTCAGTCTTGAGTGTATGCAGAGATGAAGTGAAATAGTCGAAATCATGTACATCCATGGACAAATTCACCTGGGTTGAAATAAATTCACAGTGCATTGTGTAGACTTCTTCCATAAGCCATGCTGAATGTTCAAAAACCATCAAAACTCAAGGGACTAAAAGAAAACTCACAGGATTCATTGCATGATTCAATTTTGCACAATTTTAATTTACACATGGTAATTTAATATAGGAGAAATATGGTCTAAAATGTTCAAGCTTTTATGCAACAAATTTTAATCGTAGTCTCGGTCCAAGACTTATTTTTTTGTATTCCCTTTACAGCTGGTCGATGACAAGCCAGGTTTCTCAACAAAATTAATCAAATCCATTTTTGGCAAGATTGGCAGCGCTACCCAGGAAAATTCTGAGCGTACTTCACGCGCGCTGTATTCAAGCTGATGCATGCGTGTGAGGCATGCTGGGAATTTCCTGGGTAGCACTGCCAATATTGCCAAGACTGGATTTGATCCATCTGGTAGAGACCTCCACCGCCGCCGCAACTTTAAACCCGCAGCAGGGAGTAAAAAGTCTTTACCAAGACTACATTAGCTGATCATCCCCACTAAAATAATTATATACATGTATATGGCTTTTTTTCAAATACTGGCCCCAATTGACCATTGCACTTGTTTGCAATCGATTACAAACCTATGAACGGGTACGAGCCAGCTAGACTGGTTCCCTGACCTTACAATTCCCCAATGTATGAGTCAGGGAACCAGACTACAGGAAAATGATCGTTTTTCTTGGTTTTTATAGCATTTTCGAACCCCAAACCTCAAAAAAGTCAGTGTAACTATATTTGCTATATATTTCCAACCCCCCAATTCCATCCATTTCTAAAAATTACAGCAAAAGCAAATGATGTATATTCCCTTTAAGTTGAATGTTATATAAAAGGATGTGACGTTTACACATCTAAACAAAAGCTAAATCCATTTACAAATTTTCCCAAACGACCAACGAAAATTGTTGATTTTCATGTCAATGATGCCCGCCCGTCTGTAGACATAATGGGCATGTGCTAAATGGCTGAACGCTGAAATGGATCTCAAAATATAAGCTAAAACTTTTACAAAATTAACACTAAGTCACATCTTTAGTTCTATTTAATTACATGCATTGCAAAACAAAAACCCACCCCGAAACACACCTTATAGAAATCCAATCTGGGAGAGGTGGAACCCCAAATATACACTGCAATTAAAAGCTTACATTCCACCAACCACAGGGATTCTGTAATTTGACATATATACATGTAAAGGGAAAACTGATCCCAAAATGTAATGTTGGCATACCACAGTTTCTTTCACAGATTTTTATCACGTTTTGTACAAATGCATAAGCGTAGCCTGCGGGGGGAGGGGGGTATTTACCACCCCCCCCCCCCAATATTTTGTAAAGACTGCCTTTTTCCATTCAAATGCCCTTTTTTCAACGGGCTTACCCCCAATAATTTGTAACGGGTAATTTGTAAATATTATTTTCTGAACAAGTGCCCTTTTCCAAAAAGAAGTGGTGCCCTTTTTTGTGGCCTCTGCCTTTTCATAATTTCGCACATGTATCACCCTGAAAAAGCACCATACATGTACATGTATTGGCCCTTTGTGTGCTTAATTGTCGGTTTTGAACAGCGCCCCCATCGACAGATGGTACCAGCCCAGCCCCCCCCCCCCCCCCAAGAAATTTTAAATTTTTGGAAATATTTTCATGAGACTGTTTCAATTTGATCCAGCGAGAAAATGGATGGTACAGACCATAAAAGTTATTTTATTTTTCTCCCTTAGATTACTATATTTCTCCTCTCAAGATCCAATTGATATTCAATTATGAAACCATTTAAGAAACACCAATATTATCACTTTTAGTTTGACTTTACACATGCAGCATTACAAAGAGAATGAAAATATTTGGGGAACCTTCTACAACATTATGTTAATGATGACAAATGTTCTTGTGACGTGGCAATGACCATGGGTTAACACTCTTTTAATCGCACAAACACAAAATATCATATGATGAGCTGTGCCATAGCTGCCGGACCTAGTTTAAATGACCCATATCCTGACCCAACCGTTTTCAGCAACGGATAAGAGGTCAGACGTCCAGAATAAAACAGATCCACCATTATCACGTATCAAAAGTACCCTTGGCATCTAGGACTCGGGGATGTCCCCTTTTATCAAGAGTACTACCAATCCGAAGAGTCCGTGTTCAGTTTGGTTTTATCTAGTCAGTTTTCACGTATTTTAAAACTTCCGAAGGATCTTAACACAGAACACATCTGCTACAGCGAGACAACCCCCCGGGGTAAACACAATGCCGAAGGGGTGGTCCAGTCCACGAACCACACACCCCTGGTACACCCCGTAGGAATCGTAATGGTGCACCTCAGAGCTTGCTGTTTTGTCACTTTGAGTAGAAACGTAGATTTCGCCAGCCTCATCACAGCATACACCACAGGGGTGCAATCGTACGCTATTGCCATTGACAGTATCGGTACTGAATACTTCATTGCCCTCGAAATCTACGCACAGCAGTTTACTGTGCGTGTTGTTTGTGAAGATGATTTTGTCTTTGCTCATCGCGACAAATGCATCCACCATTTCATTGAAAATGGTTGTAATCAGAGAGCCATCTAACTTGTGGAGAGATATTGCCTTTCTCCCCTGTCTACTACGGCTACCTTGTTCTTGTCAGCACAGATGCCAACAAGTTGACTTGCCAATCGCCCCTCGGTGTCTTCCTGCGACGGTGTGAACTGACGAATCATTTGTAGGTCACCGCTTAACACCTTCACTTGGTTTGTATCTGTAACCCAAAGTAGGTCATCACAGGTCACTGTAACTCCGAATGGTTTTTCCAGTCGTTTATCTCCAACTTTGACCGGTGAGGTTACTATTTGTTCTCCAGCTGAGGTCAACATTGTTACCTCTTTTTTGTCTAAATCTGTAACTGCAAATTTCCCATCGCCCATGCAAGCTACATCAGTTGCCATTGTAAAGTTACACATGATTTCTTTTGTCGACTGCCATTTCTCTTCAAGAAGTATCTCGCCGAGATCTGTTTCCCCTACGATGTCATGACATTTGACCCCAATGAATGACATGCCACGATCAACACTGTATGCATCTTCATTCCGGAGTTTCCAGTAATCTAAGTTGTGCATCACCTTTGGCTTTAGTTCCAACATCTCGAAGTCGTCAGCTTGATACATTAGATTGTTGATAGACGCAACGACACGTTCTGCCCTGTTCATCTTGTCACGGTTGCTTTTGAGTTCTTCCTCAAACTTTTGATTTCGCTCTTGACCGATGTTTGCCACTTTTTCTCTAAGATGACGGGACTTGAGTCTGATTTTGGCAACTTCTTGTTCTTCTTTGTCAGAAACGTCCTGGCAAGTCTGAGCCACCATGATACTTAATCGACATTTTGAGTTCTCAAGCGACTTCTCCTTGGCTTTGAGTTCCTTGATGTCTCGTTCAACAACCTTCAAACCCTCCTCGACATCGTGACGAAATGAACGTACGACGCAAGAAATGTCCGTGTATTCATGTTCAGCTGTTCGGTGATCAATCGCAGCGCATCTTGCACAGATCATCATCTCGCAAGTTTTACAGTAAAAACACAATTCATAACTAACATGGATCCGGCAATTGGGTACGATACCATCACTTTCCGTGGGCCTGATGATTCCTTTTCGGTTCAGATCTTCGACTGTGACGATCCGGTGATATTTGGTGCGCTTGGATCGGCGATGAGCGTCATGGCAAATCTTGCAGATATTTTCATCACAATCTTGACATCGTGCGAATGCTTCCAGGCCTTCCTCACAATCTTCGCACCTTGAAGTGGGCGCTGATGTGCCTCCAAGTAACAGCTCTTGCTTATTGAATTCATCTACAAGGGAGCTCAAAACGAAGCTATTCATCAGACCTTGCAGACCTGTGTCTGGAATGGCCGTCACCTGCCTGCAAACCGGGCAAGATATCCCGTCAGTCTTTGTTTTTTGTCTGTTGAGAAGCTCGTCAAGGCAGCCAAGGCAGAAGCTATGCAAGCAGTCCAGTATTTTAGGATTGGCGAATCGACAACAGCAAATCGGGCACTCCAGATGGTCCCGGCTGATTTGACCCAGCGTGTTTCTGGTTGCAGCCTCTGCCATGGTTTAGATGTATCTGGGGAGGGGAGATATAATATTATTGTACCATTTATTGTTACACTACGTGGACAACACAATAAGGCTTCAGAGTTTTTTTAATTTTTTATAACGGATCGTGTTTTTTACAATGTCGGAATTTTGTAATAAGGTGGGACATCAAATAAATTTATAAACGCAGTGTATAGTCATTTGTGACATCCGTGCATTACGGAAATAATAGCCGTTGATTAATAGGGACGGATCTGCCGGGCGGTATGGGTAGAGAGTACCGTAGTACGCATCACCAGGCGCGGTTCTAGAGCCAATATATTGGGGTGGGGGGGTGGGGAGGGGGGCTAGCAAGGTGAATCCAGATTTTTTCCAGGGAAGCGTGCTGAAATGTAGACTGGTTATTTTCTC